CAGTAGTGGTTCATTTCGCAGTTATTCTTCGTGAAAGACTGTGCCTTTTATCAGGCTCTGTTTTCTGTCAGCAAATGACCCACAGTTTGAAATTATTAGTACCCCAAAAGACAGTTAACTTTTGTAAGAAAGCAGCAACAGTTGGCATGTTTTGTTAGCATCTTCTTTGACCCGCCCTTGTTATGTGGTATTTTTGAAAATCGAATTTGAATTTTGAACAACTAGTTTATAATTTTGAAATAAATAGCCATGCTCAGCCTCTGCCTAGTTCATGTCTTAGTTTCTTGTATAAATAAATTGTTTTACCCAATCTTCCATCAAGGCTATATTACAAACCTTTTTTACAATTTCGTTTTACAATTGGATCAGCGAATTAGCTTCGCATTTATCTATAGGAACTGGTGACTTTTTCAGCGACAAGCTTTTTTGTACGTAATTGAAATGACATCATGAGCTGTTGCCGAGAGCTTTATTGATGTGTACCTTATTTTTATGTTGATGACTTTTTAAACACTTCCTTGCTTTATGTCGATTGATAAAAAGTGCATCAAAAAACTGACGTCATTTCAGACTGTTGACATCATTTTGATATTTTTTCTTTTCTATATGCAGATTAACAGCAGAGTGATCAAAAGCTGGTTGAACAACTTGGATTCGACTTCAAATCTTTAGTTATGAATCTACTTATCTAGGAGAAATACGGTTTGCAGGTAACTTTCATCCTTTCATTATTTCGCCGATGTCTCGTTTACGAATATCACAATATGTTGTTCTCTTGGTCTGGGTTTTGATGGTCTAGAACAGGATTAGTGTTTAAAATTTATGCTGTTTGAAGCTTTTCACCTTATTGTTGATAAGTGTTTTCGTGTTTATTCCCAAAAATCTGAAATTCGAAATCTTTTAATCCGCTGTGTATGTCAATGGCTGACTTTTGCATTAGCGATCATTTAAAACGAAGATGTAATCAAATCCGGTAGAAAATGTTACGAAAGACTCCAACTGTCTTCAAAGTGGTTTTTGCTGCCAATAGGTGCACTCTCTAAAGACAGGCCAGCTTCGAACGATATTTTAGGCAGTGCTGGTCTTTTCCAAGGATATATTATTTGTGATCTCCTAAACATACGTATATTGAAATATTCTACATTCTAAACGCTGGATTAAGTGTAGCTATGTGTTATATTCGATGAATTCATCGATAAGCAAATCTAAAGTCAATATATTTTAGTTATTGTCTTCATTGACCCGCTGAAAATAGCATCACGACCAACATCAATACATCTTTTCTACATTAAGCGCCATTGTCCTTAGCAAATGCCCTTAATCTATAGACCTCATTAATCTGTGCGAGCGGCGCTCGCAGGCACAAAAGTTCATTCTCAAGAATTCCTGCCAGCACATTTCTGAATTGATTTTTATTTACCTCAATTGCATTACAGTCATACTTTTTTTAAACATCTTTCTTGGTATTGAAATTGAACGGTCAAATAGAATATAAAAGGTAGGAGTTGCAAGTCTTTTTTACCAAAATGACAGAAGGTCCTTAATCTAAAGGCGCCATTTGCCTCTCAAAATCAACTTGGTTGTTTGTCTCTTTTCTTCTTTTCTCTCTTGGTGGAAGAGATCACTTGCTGTTATTGTTTTGCTTTTTTCAGAGTATTATGTTATGACTTGTGAAACTCATTTGTGCATAGTAGGCTGAAGAAAGCACACTCCTTTAAGGTAAAGTCTTCAAGCTTTTAAATCTGGTAGCTATCGATTTCTGACGTATTTGAGCAAAATTTCATGGTGAATCTCTAAATAATTCATCAAAAACAAAAATTTTCGACAATTTGTGACAACCAAACAAGCCTCTATTTCTTCAATTTTTGGAGTAAAAGCATTTTCATATTCAAATAATCAAATCTTACAAGCATGATAAACTCAAAGCTAAAAAACGGAGTATCCTTATATGATACTATGTTTAATAAGACATTTCAACGAAAATAATCGGGTATTCATGGCTTTTTTTTATATCTTTGAAATGAGAAAAGCCCAGTGTAATGTCTAAATTCGTGCAACCATTGCCAACGAAGCAAAATCTTAAAATTCACAAATCTTGAAAGAAGATGTTGTAAACAAAACTGCTCCATTTAAAGTAGCTAAGGCGTTTAAGATATCGGAAAGCGTTTTTACTGAAGATGTCTTTATTGGATAAAATCGAGAACAGCGATAGGGCTACTTGACAACCCAAAACAACCTGTAGATAAGAACAGGATCATTCCCTTTTTTATGTACAATATATCAGGGTTGCCATTGGGCAGTTTTGACGGCCAAATTCCTCTATTCTGGCCGTTTTTCAAAGCTATTGGCCGTCCGAAATTGATTTGGCCGAAAAAGTAAAAGTTGGCCGAATTTTGGCCCCATGTTGAAAACCACAAAAATACAAAGAAAACGACAATTTTTGCAAAGAAAATATTCAACATTTTGTTAAAACAATCTCAAAATTGCAAATAAAGAAGCAAGAAACAAAGTAAAAGATAACAGAAAAATTGAAATTGAAAGAAAGTTGGAGCTTTTAACACTGTTACTCTAGAGACTTAGCCAAAATGTAGCTTTTTTGTATATTTTGTTTGGCTGGCCGAATTTGGTCGTCACGTGTAAAATATTTGGTCACCAACCATTCCAAGCATTTCGCAACCCTGCATTATATAACGCTAGTCGCATTTATTATGTCATCTGTTCAGTTTTACACGTAGTTACATTACATGTAGTTCATGATGATATTGATATGATATCTGCATTTGACATACGTAAGTTTGTGTAGCAGTGCTGATCGTAACAGGGAGGTTCTCAATTGATCAATATCTGACTATAAATTGCAACATATTTTACATGCAGGCAGATTGTTACTCGGCTTTCCACTCGCAGGCACAAAATATTATTAATGAGCCCTGTTAATCTGGAGTTATCTACGCAGTTCCATAAATTTGATCATATAGTCACTTTTGCTAGGTCTAATCAGCCATTGCAATAACGTTTTATTGGCTCTAAAGCTAATTCAAATTCGCTCCCACATTCCGCAAGTTTATATAAACACTTGCTTTCTTTGATACAAACCATCAATTAGGCGGACCGTAGCGACTTAGGATTACACGTTTTATTTTCTTTTATTTGGTGCGTCCAAAAATTTCTTTCTCTGTAGATCAAACTTTTTCAAGTCTCATTTGACATTTTCTAGTTTAGCATCTGCTTTGAAAGACCGTTCATTTTGATTACGTCTGTATTAATTTGTTTGCCTAATCTTGATAATAAAATAAACATTTTGCGAATGATATTGGTTGTTTAAGTGCATTGCGTTTCAAATGGATAACCAACTAACCAGCTGAACTCAGAAAGCCAAAGTAAGATGGAAATTGAGGGGTAGCTTTCCCATACACTGGCAACTGTCCTTGGCGCTTAACATGTGATAAATCGCCTAGCACGTGATTTATGATTCAACATATGATTGGACATGCGCTTGTTTTCAAAACATCATTCTGTTGTTGCTTCACCGTAACAGGTGGTGGGAAATCGCGTATAGGGAGAGAAAGCCACAGATGATTTGTATGCTAGAGATAGCGATATTAGCAACAACGTCAACAAGATAAGATTCATCTTGTTACTGAAAATATCGTTTTTACTCCTTTGTTAACCTCAAAGTGTTTTTGCATGATGTGAAAACCCATTCTATGATTCAAAAGCGCCCCAGATCCATTGATAAATGGATAAAAACAACTCGTGCATGCCTTAGATACAGGCTGTAGTTGAAAGGCGCGTGTCAGAAACCACAAAATGATTGTTATTTAGTGGACTTGTTTATCAAATAGGGAACAGCTGTCATTTGCCGCTTCTAAAGTATTTTTCTTGAATCTAACTTAACATTACAATAAATTTCTTTTTTCAAGGTAATATCATCGATATTCTTTTTAAAACTTTGAAAAATACGATGCAAATAAAGACATGATGACATCAGCTGTAGCCTTTGATTTGGTGGGTACAGACATTTGCTTTGTTTAATGTTCTGTTTACCACCAGGGTGTATTCTATGTAGTTTACGCCGGAGATCTCCGGCGTGGACTTAGCTTTTTCCTCGGCGTAGCGGCGTGAAATTTGCTATTTGCGAGCCTTGGCGCATTGGCGTACGTGATAATTTTTCGCGATCGGCGTAGCAAAAACGGTACTTGTACAGAATACGTGGACAGCCTGATTATATTGATATGGACAGTAAAAGCAATGCAAACTATAGATTAATCGAAAGCTTGTATGTTTTACACTTGGCGTAGCAACTAGAATAGGTTGAAATTTCTCTGGCGTGGGTCTAACATGGAATGCACCCTGGGTTTACCAGCGGTGTTGTCTAAATTTAAAATTAATTAGATAGTGCTATTTTTACAGTAATGATGCATTAGTTTTTTCAATATCCTGTGCATTTTTACATTTATCAACAACACTCAGGGAAGATACATTTGCATCAGCGTCTAATTTTTTACTGCAAGAGAATCGCGTTACAAATTTTTGGCATCAGCCATTCTGACAACATGCAATATTACATGTAGTTGATATAGATAAGCTAATTCAAAAGTCGTACCTACTTAAAAAGGATAATATTCATAATTAAAACAGATAGGTCGTTATTTTAGGAGAGAATCATTTTGATATCTCTCATTTATCATATACGTATTAAGTGTAAAAATCATTGTTTTTAGGAATTTTTCACAGAAATGTTTTCGAGAGGGTGTTTGGATATTCCTTATAGATACAATATCTAAAGTTTCTATCTGTTGGAACTTGAGAATTACTGAATTTTACAGTTTAAAGAAAAGCAAGTGAAAATGAGTTGCTTGAAACGATTGTTATAGTATGATATTATTTGTGATATTACTATCAAATAGTGTTTATGTTTATATTAACAAAAAAGAATGTTTAGCTGTGGAATATCAGCTCTTTGCCATTTTTTAATAGAAATAAGTTTGCAAAAAGTTTCTGATATGGTTCTAAGGACAGATCGAGAACACATCTTTGTGGAACCTAGTACAATATTATTTTACCATGGTGTGAATAATCATCAAAAGGACCAAAGCGCTAGATCTTTCTAAAAAGGGCGTTAATTAGATTAAGACCATATAAGCGCGGGCGTTTATAAACTGTTATAACAATAAAGGGAATGCACAAATGTTTTTGTACTCGTCCTTCTCCCTCTCTTTTTCCTCCTCCAGAGTGACCTTTACTCCTCGCAACCAAGTTTTGATTTACAGTACGTTCTTCTTCTTTGTATTTAACATTAAAATGGACTTAGGAAAATCGTATTTGTGCCTCCTTAAGTACCTGGATCTTTTTATCTAATAGAGCGTTTTGAATAGAACGTAGGACCTAGAATACTGGGGCGTTAGAAAGAGCAGGAGGTTAAATAAACGATTTACCGTGTATCTTTAAAAAGATATTGTAATGGTGAAGCTCATGATTGAGGGTTATTGGTCTCATTTCTCTGTCATATTCTGTGTCAGTCTAGCACGTTACAAATATATTAAACGCTGTACACATTATGATCTCTTTCGCAGTCCAGCTTTGCAATCTGTGCTTTTTCAATGTTCCAAAATGGATCCTAGGTCTTCTTGATGGTTTCCTCAGTTTGAAAACGCGACTTACAAGATATCCATCTCGCTACATCTAGCTACTACTATACTCGCCCAACGTTTTAGTGAATAGTAAACAGTTTAGTGAATAATAGCACAGAAACAGCGTACCATTTCTGACAAGGCACATCTGATAAGTTGCCTTTGATCTTAAAGGGCTTTGTATTCTTTTCTTAGATAATAGTGCAGAAGATAGATAGCTGGAAACTGACTGACAGCCAGTTGGTATTGTCATGGACTAGGTTTTACTCATTCCAGCCATTGGGGCTTGTATAAGTTCCGATATAAAATCAAGACCGTTTTCTACTCTCAGCTCGGTAAAACCGAAATTTGACAGCTATCGCGTGTTGATACCATGAATACAAAATGCATCACGTGATATTTTGACACCTTCCAGTAGCATAATAGTTTGCTTCAAAGCGCACAAGCATAGTATGGCTGGTATCCATCTGTGAAGACAGAAGCTAATTAAGGTACTCAAGAGTTTCATACTTTTGAGGTAGGTCTTTTTGTTGGTTAACGTAGGATAAATGCTTTTAAGGACCATGCAAAGTTCTCAGGAACGTTTTACTAGAATGCATTTAGTTTCAGCAAATAATGATTGAGTTGCTGAAAGTAGCTCTTAGTGCTTCTGTCAAGGGTCTTATAGTTGTGCTACAAAGTTCAATGTGCATTTTATTGAACCCATTCTGGGGAGCTTTGGATCTCAAAGTGCACTGTAATTTAGTATGTCCTGTATAATATGTTATGTGTTCAGTATATTTTGTAAAATGACAAACAGGTTTAGACGTTTCTTCTATACAACGGTTCTCCTTCGAGTAGCAAAGACTAGGTTGCTACAGTTGTGCAGCTTATCTGTGCGATAATGCGGACTATCAGTTTGTATCAGAACTTCTGTCTGTCAAACTCGATTTTCGGACGAATTTAAGCAAAGTTTGCTTGCACGAGGAGCTATAACTTTAATCCACCCGGCAGGTCATAGCTAATGACTCATACTGACATATGTTTTTGAAGGTAAGAGCAGCTGCCTGGCATAAAGCCATATGTTGCAAAACCGGTCGCCCAGAATTTGCTACTCTTATTAACGCTTTGAGTCGTGTTTTCGTCGAATCAGAATTTGCAATTACTTGTGTATAAATCACTAACGCATTTTCAAATGTGAGATCAAGATATTCGGTGCTTATAACTGTAGTATATTTTGGAATCATGCACAGTTATTAGAATATGTGTTTTGTACTGGCAACTGTGCCTTTGTTTGCTACGATATGAAACAGATAACAGATATATAAAAATGGATGTGCTGAATTATTGTTGGTGACTTATAGCTCCTTTGCTAAATGCACACAGCCAAACCATATTCGAGCTTGGCAGAGAAAACATCATTTTGCTAAGGCGTACGGAACAAATGGAACTAGATTTTGGCTTTCAATCAGTTTCTTGGTTTATTGGTAATTTAGTATCCGTGCAGTTCTTTTTCCAAACATCGGCTATTGTATATGGACTCATTAATGTATATAGTCAGTTCCTTTTTTGCCATGTAATTTTTTTCAAATTATAGCTTGAGGCTGTGCGAGCTGATGTTTGTAGCAGCAGGATTCTCTGGAAATTTGGAAACTTTTCTCAAAGTAAAATATGAGAAATTCCCTTGATTCGTTTTTCAACTTTTTCAAGAGTATTTTCCCCATCAAGGAATTTATCGTGAGAACTTGTCACCCTATACCTGATATGAAACTCTAAAAATAGCTAGGTAGAGTCAGGACCGGATAGATTTTTCCCATACTCTTTCCACCCCATCAAAAATATTTGAAATTTTATATCAATATTTATAAAGCTGGAATCAGTACAGATGTTACTCAAGGTGTGTTTTCTGAAATAAACGTTGTATCGAATATATTTATGAAACATCCCAAAGATTAATGCATGGAATGAAGCTTGACCAGATAATTTCTCCATTGTTGAACACTGTTCCAGTTTTAGCCATTTCATTTTAGCCTTTTCTTTGATCAGTTGACCTACAAGAGAGGTCAATAATTCATGTGCAATGCTGATTTCTCAGGCCACCGTGTTCTTATCTTGTGCTAAGCAGGAAGGTGGATAACTATCTCTAAAACACTATTTGAATAATCTTCATTGTATTTTTCAAAGCCATTAACGTCAGATATTTTCGTTGTTATCAGGCAACCTGTTTCATATCAATACTGTACTAAACGGGAAAGTGGATAAGTAACCTACACGCCTTTTTGGTTATCTCGCTGTATCCAACAGCGTCATCAGCGTCATCATCATGATATCGATTGGGCTATCATTGTATTTCTTTGTAGTAAGCGGGACGCCTCACGTGAACACCTTATTGTCAACATTTTCTGTATAGCATAACGAACGTCAATCAATACAGCGCTTTGCTCCCATTCCTTAAACTCTACATAAATGTTTTAATACCTTGGAATAACAAAAACACTCAGATTACAGGTAGGCAAGAAAGCGCTGTCTATTGACGCAATTAGCTGGCATGTTTGCTACCACCAGAATTGTATTTTGCTACTTGTCTGCTGAACTATAGGGGACAATGTGCGCTTTACAAGCAGTTAAGATAACCAACCGCCCTCACGACGCTTGTATTGTCATTTCGCTTACGTATCGCTTTTATTTATGCCAAATAAGGTAGTTAATAAGGCATTTAACCCCCTGTGATTTGGATCCCTAGCGTGTTTTCTGTTTGCTAAAGCATCCTTTATTTCTGAAACGTCTATTTCGTAACCATCAAGGTATATAGATAGCAGAAAATCAATATTTGTGATTAATTTTGAATCTTCGTTGTCTAAACATCATCAAAATCTCACTGTAAAATTACAAACAGCGTTCTTGGAAGCGTACAAACCTCTTGCTAATATAATCATTAATAGATTTTTCTTCTTGATTCGAGTATCTAGATGAGGAATAAATGTTGCTTTCAAACTCTATTTCTCATAGGCACATTCGTATAGCTTAATCAAAACTGTATCAAACATTCATTCTTGCTGTTTTCGCAGAAAGTTTTGCTGTTAATTTCTCATTGATCTCTTCTGATTTTAATTACTACTGGAAAATTGATCTTAGTTGCAGATGGAGATACACGTTGCTGCCTCGTTTTCTTATATCCTCTTTCTCAAAAGTTTGCTCCTCAGAGTTGAAACAAATAAAGATTTGGCGGAATTTTTTAAAGGAGCCCATTACTACTTTTTCAAACTAGCAATATTTCGTGAAGTTTTACTTTTTCAAGCGCTAGGCAAGTTTGCTTGATCAGAGTAATCCTCTATTGAAAATATAAAGACGGATAACTTTTCTTGCACGACTACCCGTAATTATTTGACTTCAGGGGATATGAATTATTCATGTTTAACCTGTACATGGTGTAATTTGCGGAACAGGAGAAGTTTGAATTCTCTTCAACCCTTTCACTTCCTTTAAGGCATAAAGTGAAACAATTTCTAGGTTTTGGATATGATGGCATTCTTGTTATGAGATTTAATAGGACCTTTTAGAGACGAACTAAAGCAGCCATATTGTGACAGGCTCTCTGCATCAAGAAAGATTATTATAAATCTTATGAGCTAATTCTTATATTTGCAAATGTCGGAATAGCTTGCGTACTCTGATTCTAGTGCGTTTGGCTTTCGGTGTCACCGGAGGTGAATATAAATTATATTTTAACTATACACAAAACTATATTTTACTTCAAACTAACAACTAAACTTTGGGTAAGTGCTAAACAAGATAAGACATTTGGTAAATGCAAACAATTTTTATTCTATTGATTTGGAGTTCCGTATTTTACACTTCTTAGATAACCTGTTTCTCTAGCATAAGGAAAAGTCGACCCCCGTTAATGGCGGACATCAAGAGACAAAAAGCGAGGGATTTTCAAAACAACTGTAGTTTTGTGTTAGTGTCGCGCGTCGGATGTATGAAGAAAGTCTATGAAGCGGAGTACATTTAATTTTACATGGATGATTTCATTGCGGATCCATTCATTGTCGTTGATTCTAGTACGCTACAGCTAACTCGTTCTAGTATCTCTTGTTTTGATGAAAATGTGAAGTTTATCAAATGATTTGGGTAAGCCAGCTTGATACACTCTGTTTTGTGTATATAGGCGTAACAAAAGCGTTGATTGATATAAGGCATGTCGTAGCACAGAGGAACACCACACGAAAAATGAATTGATCAAATATTGGCTAATAAGTTGTATGTGTAAGTTAAGTGTTTTTTATGCACCGAACGTTCAAGCTAATTGATGCTTCATCGTTATTATCCTGTGTTTTCTTTTCACGATAGTTTTGGCTATATATCGTTGGGAAACGTCTTATCATGTGAAGAGCACCGTCCGAGCATTACATTGTTGTAAACAGTGTGTAGATTTGTTTGCGAAGCTTAGTAACCTGGCCAAAATAAAAATCTTGATTGCTATTGTAAAGACGATTTGAACGCTTCAAAAAAAGTTTGATCGTGAAAAGACCGCCTGCAGATGTAATATGAACATTGACAAAATTTTCTCTTCGCATTTGGAGTGCTTTGTTGATGACTATACCACAACGTCATTGTTGTTTATAATAGGCTGCTAGGATTCAGCTTGTATTCTCTTTGCTCCAAAGTAGAATAAGGGCTGTCACGCACCACAAGAACTATTTATTTTCAGAACAGAACTCGTTTTTTGAAGAATAGTTTGTTTAAAACTAACATGAATTGTCATCATGTAAATGAATTCTATAACGGCAAACAAAATACACACACTAATCAATGCGACATACACATCAAGCCTTTGCGCTATATCATGGCCACATCAAATGCTTCAAACGGCATCAAATTACAAAGCATAAATTCCTTTTGTTGGCTGATTTAATTTTTGACTGTAAGCAAAGCCTAACTTTGTGCTCTATAAAACTTTAGAACTCGCTGCATCCAAACAGAATGGCTCTGACATTAAAGCTTCCATAATGCATCCAGAACGCACCCTTTAAAAAAGATATGATGATATTGTGTGGTTGAAGTCAGTAGACTGTGAAATTCTACTTGCTTCGCTGTATCGTCAGTAGTATTGCAAGGTACCGTTTGCATGATGTGTAGAGTGAATTAGCATATCTTAGATCTAAACTTTAATATATAATTTTAGATCTCAGCTTTAAACTAAGCTGTATTTAAGTATTTAGAAAAACTTCTGCAAGCATCTGAAAGAAAGACAAAATTCGTTAATAGACTTTGCTTGCTGATTCGACAAGATATCAATTCCAAACAAAGATTGTTTTGTTTTGGTACTGGTAGGTGTCCGATTGGTTTGCTTTCGCCACAAGAACATTTTTGCCGAGCCGAAAAAGCTCTAATTTAAAGATATTCATCCCTCAACATAGATTATTAAGGTAATATTTTGTTCAAGCGAAGTTTTAAGAGCTCGCCTAATGTTTACTGAAACAGCAAGTTGTCGTATTACTTTTTGTGTTTCAGCCATCTGCAAAGAGGAGTTTAAACCGAAAGTCATAAAATTCTTCTTGAAAATTTACTTTTCAATCAAATTTTGAATTAATTCAATTCTCTTTTCCGTTGTCTGCTACCGTTTTCGGAATCAGTGTGACGTCACTCCAGCTGACAAACATTGGTCTCTTGTTTTTGCTCTAAAGTAGCACCAGCTAGGCAAATTGTCAGAACAAACAAATTTTCTGCCACCATGTGCTTCAAAGTTCCTGCTTACAGTCAGTAGACTATTCGCTATCAAAGATCAATGATTCCTAAATAGTCGACTCAACTTGCCAGTATTTTCAGCAGTAAACTTAGATCTTTTTACAGAAAATGCTCACCTCAAGCGTTTAACTATCAGTATGTTGCTAAGAGGATATAAAATATATTTGTTTGGATCGTTGTTTTTGATTAACAGTATGTTTCTCGGTCTTTACTGCATCAATTTTAATGCGAATGGGATTAAATTCACATCTGATATGCCATGATGTATAGTTTCCTTATGAATAGGTTGCTAGAGACAGAGTAACGTGTACATAACACAAAAGATTTCTGAAGTGGCTCTTTATTTAAATTTATATAAAGGACCTAAAGAATATTTTTGAACATTAAAATATCAATGTATCTACAAACAGAGTCAAGAAAAGGTTCACCTTTCCTCTAGACTATATCAATATGGTTTATGTATAGCAGACTGTTGACATGGGACAGCTGTGTCTTCTGGGTTCCGATCTCACCATTTCTATTTATTGTTGTTGTTTGGATTTCAAACAAGTTTTCAACATAGATATGACCTTGGTCAGAGGTGTTTTGCAAATTGATTTTTTCTCAAAATAGATGGTTTCACTACTTCCATTCAGATCACATCTCTTTTCGTAATCAAAACATTATAGGTTTCACACGATGCAAATTCTTTTGCCATATGAGAAAGTTTGTATGTAAATCTTCACCAGATAATATGTATGACTAGTTTTCTAATCCCATTCAAATGAACTGTATCTAAATGCAATGTTTTGATAGAGGTAATAAAAAAGAGATAGAAAAAAGCTTTTCTGTAAATAATTTTGCATTTGTTCATAGGTTGATTATGTGATATTGGGCTCCAAATTTGCCACACATTGCTACAGTTCAAGAATAGTCTCGAGATGAAAAGACGACCCGTGAGATCGCTCTTTTTTCTTTTGGTGCTGTTCCTAGCCAAAGACGAGTTCAAGGTCAGGAGTGAGAAGCCAAATGTTAACAAATGCGTTGGGCCTCACTGCCAGCACCAAAAAGACAATAAATTGCCAGCGGTTATAAAGACTTTGTAAGTTGAAACTTTATTTATTGATTTTGAAAAGAAGAACAGATTATCTTCACGTTTAATACTGTTTTGAATAGTAGTTTACGCACTGGTAGAATATATTATAAAACAATAAAACATATTTTAGTATGATATAAAGAAATAGGATTAATTTTACTTTAATATCATATCATTTGATATCATATAAAATTATATAACGTATCATTAAGTATCATATCTTTGATTAATACAGTATGCTTTTATATAACAGTATGTAATGACAATTTGTATTATATGTTAAGATTATTTATAGCAAGCACAGTGGCGTAACGCCAAGCCCCTATTTACGGACTGCAAGAACGTTTGATCCAAAGGTGTTGAGCATCTCAAAAACAATAGCAAGGTGTAAAAATTACAATTTTTTTCCTTTACAACGTTAAGGAGGGGGACGGGGGCTATAGAATCTTCAATTAACTTTTAATGTTTCTGAAAAGATGATACAATTGAGCGAAGTCTTAAAAATTAATATAAACATCATTTAGGGGCCCGGTTGTTTCAGGCCAATAGTTATCGAACTAAGGTGACATATACTGCGTTACGTCATTGGGTAAGCCTATGATATTGTTGAATGCAAACAGCTAATTTATTATTGATAAAGACCTTTTAACTACAAATTAGTATTCTTGAACCTGTTCTTTTGAGTTTTGTATTCTATTCAGGGATATCATTTAGGGTAATTATTTTTATGGATTGAATTTGCATAAGCCCTTCAAATTTGTTGTGGAGGATCTTATTAGAACTGTTAAGCATTCTGCTAATTTTTTCCTTGATTAGAGAATAAACGTCTAGGTCGATCATAATTTTTTGTGTTTCATGTATGTGACATTTAATTGATTCTTTTGGTGGTGGATTTTTTTTAGGGATCTGTCGTTTCAAGGCTTACCCAAGGTACCGAGAAAAGTGCTTGAGGAACATGCTGATACCATCGAGTTTTTGTGAGTAAATAAGCTTGGATATTTCTGCTCTACATTTTCTCAGCACAAGCGTCTGCTGTGTCTGAGACATGAAGTATCGCAAGTCTGATAGCCAAACTTTTGCTCGTAAGTCTGATAAAAAAATTGAAGCTGTAGAATAGTGTAATAGAATCGCAGTTTCTCTACACAGCTCATAAGACGACATTCACTATAGTTGTTTAGAAAAGCACAATGTATCTTTCTATTATAGTTTACTTTTAGATAAACACGAAAGATCTAGCTTTTCTGTTGCTTGTCTTTCAATTTTATGGTAATAACACTTGAACTGCCAATAATGATCCTGCATAAGGACAATTCAAATCAAGAACTTTAGCAGAATTTGGAATTAGGTTACTATCTGACCAATAGCTGCTTAGCATGTATTTTTAGAATCTGACTGGCAGATCTCATCTTTTTTTTCCAATTTTTCATATAAATGCTTGATATCTGCTATTCTCTCAATCTTCTAGGAACCTTGGTGAAAACAAAATTAAAAAGATTGAAGCAGGAGATTTTCCATACATGGAAAAATTGCACACGCTGTAAGCTTTTGATCTTAATTTCTAAGACAATGTATCATTTTACCAATTCAAGGAGTGAAGTTTTTAAACTACCATTATCACCCTCCTGCAATTACTGTCCCTACTTGATTCCCAGCTTCATTGAGTGAAATTTTGTCTTGCTCATTTCTGCAAGTTACATTATACGCTATACCTATCATTTCCTAGAAGATTCATTACTTCGACCTCTAACTGTCTTTGTAGCAGTGCATGCAATTTTTGATTCACATTCATCTAAACTTTCAGACTTCTTCACAAAAATCAGATTAGTGAGGTGCAGAAAATGAGCTTGGAGTTCCTCCCAAATCTTCTTGTATTGTAAGTATTTTATATTTATCTATAATTCAGTTGGTTCTGAATCCTTTCTAGCTGGTACTCAATTTGATTGATAACTTCATAGCTTCTAGCTGTTTCAATCTTTAATGTATTCAATCTGTGGTCGTTTATCTAGGCTAGCTGTCAACTGGAATAATTTGTTTGTCGTTAACGCTTTCTATATTGATGGATTTTTCTTCTATGTTTCCAGACGGTTTGAAGATAATCTCATGACAAGAATTCCCGAACTCAACTCTGCTCTGCAGCTATATGAACTGTGAGTCATTTGGTATTTAATATTTAATATTAAATGAATTATACTATTACCAACTAAAAGCGCCAAAATACAATATCGAATAACTTTCTATATGCTCTAAAGTATGAACTTGTAAATGATAATTTTTCCAAGAGCATTTCTGCCATTGTATTATTTGTAAATCTTTGTTTTTCAGTGATATGTCATACAATCATCTGACGGAGCTCGAAGGAAGTCAGTTGAAGACTATCCATCATTTGAAAACACTGTATGTTTAAAATTTTCAGTAGCTTTTGAAACATGATACCTATATCAATAAAGTTTTTTTTAACAAAAATACCTGATTGCTGAGTTCTAATTGGAACAATGTAGCCTTCAGTCCATATAAAGTGTATGGCACAAGGGGGGGGGGGAGGGGGATTATTGCACTGTTCATATTACAAAATCTCTATGAAAGGCTACCTCCTACAAAAGGACAAATAACCTTGTCTTTTCTGCTTCCAAACCCTTGTAGATGTAACCTGGCAACAGACCCATCTCTGTATGTTATTCAACAGTTTTGTACACATCTGTGAATTGTGTTTTAATAGAGTGAGTAAGGGGTATCATCGCTCTCTTTGATGCGATAGTTCGCGTACTGTCATATCTCTGTAACAAACAACCTCTCATTTTACAGTGTTTTTTCTTTTAGCATACTGCGAGGAAACAAAATCACGACATTGCATGACAACACATTCAAACACAACCACAAAATGGAAGAAATGTAATTTGAATACTTGATGTTGATGCTTGCTTCTTTTGAGGGATTTTTTATAGCATCAGGCTATGCTGTATCCTCACCATCTAATTTTCTAGATGTGATTGCCTCGCTCAATGCTTGCATACCTTTCTGAATAATGCTTCAACTTTGTCTATTTCTGTCAATATTTTCTTTGTCAGTTGTCATCTGCCATGCATAATATGATACAAAGAGCTTTTTTATTCATGTACCTCTTTTGTTCTTGTCTACAAATATATAACCCTGGCCCTCTTCCCTGCTTGAATTCTCTAATTTTGAAAATCGTAAGGAGTTTTCTGATTTGACCTTCATTCTGAAATCGGATTAAGAACTGCATTTGACTGCTAGTTATGCGATTCGCGTAAGTACTTGATCGCCAATATGAATGCTTAATGGTGAGTTTTTAATCATAGGAACAGTTATCCTCCTCAATCTCCTCTTAAGAATGAAAAGCGTAACGTAATTAAACAGTTAATGGTTCCCACGAACAGGGAAACAACAGTTAAGTAGGAATATCCTAAGAAACACTAACAACTTTTTTCAAAGTGGTTGATATACAGTTTGATAAACATTTTCTAGTTTAATCAAATTTCTGTCAGTTTGTTTGTTGCATAGTGCTGGATTGACAGGGGGATCCTGAGCTGCTTCTCCTACAATCCCCGACGAAATTGTTGGTTCCCTCTGAATCAATATTGGATTAGTAGTTCTCATTTGTGCTTAAATAATATACATTCAACATTGAAGAGGGGAGGGGGGAATATTATTTATGAAATTTAGAGAAAACATCATCCTTTCTTGACAAGTCTCGCCTATTTTTGTCAGGGATTGTAGTTTTATGTTCAATGGAATTACTATCATTTATTGATGAAGTCATACAGCGAAACTATTATCATCTAAATTCAAGTTTGTTCTTTATTTGCAGTGACTTGTCGGAAAACCCGTTAACGACAATGGGACCTCAATCGCTTGTTGGACCGGAAAAGTTGAGAAACTTGTGAGTGAAAGATGCTGATTTGCTTTAGTAAGGAATAAATGCAATAAAGAAAATTGTATGACATTTTGAATTTTTTACCATTCAAAAAAGGCATCCTACTGTGTAGAATTGATTTATCGTCTTGAACAACCCTCTTTCACGAGCAGTAGCTACCGTTGTTGCTTGTCATATTATGAGCTATTTGTTGTTTTTAGTTGATCTTGACGTATCAAATGGCATGTTTCGTTTCTTTGAACTTTTGACATTCAAGTTCTTCTTGGCACTTTTGACGCAATGAGCTTTCTAATTCCACATCACATTTAAATTCCCATATGCACTGTATCTGCCTTTTTCTAAAGCCATGTTTCGAATACACAGAGAAAAGCATTTACAAATCAGAATTTACTTTCCTTCGCCAACATTCTTATGCTTTTGCTTTTCTAAAGGTTCTTGCGTGGTACAAAGATTAACAGTCTCCCAGAAACTGGCTTAAAGCACCTGCATCGCTTGAATATAAAGGATATACCTAATATGTGGACTGTGCCTGAACCATCTGCTTTTGATGCCTTAAAAGAAGTAGATGTCACTTATTCTGTGCATTGCTGTCCTTTCCGTGGTTTAGTAGCAGCTGAGAGGAAGCCAAGCAAGGTGATTTCGTGTGCTGATTATCTTGCAAGCTTGAAATCTGCGCCGTCCACGCCCTCGCCAACTTACGATGATGATTTTGATGACTTTGACGATTTTGGCGATTACGGGTTTTTCGACAACCACGATCAAAACGAAACAACTGACGCAAGCCCGCAGGCGTCCCATCTTCGCTCCTCGTCTAGTAACGTGCTAGACAAGCTTCGTGGCATTGAAGAATCATTTAGAATGGCTAACACCACCTTCCAGCCTCTATGCAGCAATACTAACAAGACTGTTAAATACGTGCCACCATCACGAATTGTAAAATGCCGACCAAAGCCAGATGCTTTCAACCCCTGTGATGATGTCATTGGCACCACTGTTCTAAGAGTATTCTCATGGGCAAGTTCATTCCTTGCTATTTTTGGTAACATCTTTCTACTGCTTGTCCTTTACTGCAACGAAAGTCCACTGAATGTGTACAAACTTTTGATGTATCACCTTGGCATTGCTAACACAATCATGGGTTTTTATCTCGTAATTCTATGCAGCTTGGATGCTTTCACCTACGGTCGTTACTACAACTTTGTACGGGTGTGGCAGTACAGTGGAGGATGCAAAGTGGCTGGGTTCCTCGCAGTATTTTCCACTGAGCTGTCAGTTTGCGTTCTCGCAATTGTTACGATAGAGCGTTACCTGCTTATCGTACACGCATTGCACATTCGCAGACAAATGAAGGTTATACATGCAAAAATTGCGCTAACTATCGCTTGGACGTACTCTTTTGTCGTTGCTATCCTGCCAGTAACAGATGTCATAAGCAGCTACGAGAAAGTAGCGATTTGCTTACCGTTCGAAGCTTCGACGGATGTTTCGAAAGGTTACGTTTTCTGGCTCCTTACCTTCTATCTGGTGACATTCGTTTCTGTGGTATTAGCATACTTGAGAATGTATGCAAGCGTCAGCGGTGCTCCCCCGTGTGCTGGTGTCAACACCGAGTTCAAAGTGGCGAAGCGCTTTTCGATGATCATCTTCTGCAACTTTGGTTGTTGGGTCCCGATCAGTATCGCAGGGTTTCTCTCATTTTTTTCGCGTCTTCCAATGAACATCGGTGTCTCGAAGTTTCTGCTGGTCTTTGCATTTCCCTTGAATGCCTGCACGAACCCATTCCTGTACGCCTTCTTCACAAAGATCTTTAGAGGTGACGTTCTCAAGTTGCTTACAAAACTCGGGCTCAGGAAGAAGTCATCACAAAAGTGTCAACATCAGAACCCTGCTTACGTAAGAGGAAGGCATGGATCAAGAGCATCGGAAGGTACCTTTGCTACAAGTGCTGGAAACTCGAGATTCAGTCCACCCGGTACTCTGAAATCAACGGTTAATAGCAATGGAAAGTCCCCGAGCCACGCATACAGACAGGCCAGTAATTCTTCACCGGTGACGTTTCAGAACAGTGCCAAGTCCCCTCCATGCTGTTACAGAAGTATCAGTGTTGAGAGTGCTGAAAACAATACTGCTGCACCAACCCAGAATCAAGCAGCTGGTGCTGCCCCACCAACGGAAAGACGCACTGGCATCCAGCGTATTCTTCACGGTTTATGGGCTTTAACGATAGGAAGGAGGAATCGTAACGAGTCGACATCATCAAGCAAAGAACTGTTGTCTTCTTATGATCCAGAGAGGTTCAATCGTATTCGCAGTGTCAGCGAAGCCGTTGAAATAGCGTGCCATGACGATCATTTGCTTGGTGAGAATGTATACGATGTTGAGAAGAATTCCCCACCGACAGATATAACAAACCTATGATTGTTGATACTGATTCAGAGGATTTTGGATGATTCAATGCCCTGGTATACTTGTAAGAGAGAACACAGCCTCTTTTGATGTCGTGACACGTCTGTGTCGGATGCAAGATTAAGTGCTACAGTGACCAAAGGACTAAGATGTGACAACATTGAGGCACAAATGCAAGGTGAAGTTTCAGTTGCTCGTCAACTGTCACCAAGGGAACATTGAAAAAAATTAAGCTTGGAAGAGCCAAATTTAGTGGGTTGGCTGCATTGTTAAAATGCCTGGAAATATTGCTGTTTTGATGTCAAAGTAAAACAAAGTGGTGGTTGTAGAGGAGTGGAACCCTGTTGCCTTTTGGTCCACATTTGAACCTTCGTTGGAGACTGATGATCAATCTCAAGGTGTAGAACTCTATGTCACCCTAAAAAAAGCTAATTGTAGGGGTAAATTTGTTATTTAGCATGAAATCACTTATTAGTGATATAGCAGGTTGCAATTTTCATAATTTTCCAATAGTCTTAAAGCTTCGCTATATTGGATACCCTTGTAGTTCAAAATTTTACTTTGGCAGCTTCAAGGTGAATTTCTGTTCCTTATTCAAACGTGAATCGATTAATTCTCAAACTGAAAAGATATCGTAGTGCATGGAGCATTTGAAGCGATTTATAACATGCATGGATAATGAGAAAATTTGTGCTTTTGCGAAGGCGTCCTTACTGTGATCTTTAGGGTATTCTCGAAGAATTCAAGGACAAAGGCTTAAATATAAAGACACTAACATACCAAGAAGAATTTTAGACATTGTTGCTTGCAAAATTATCTATTACCCCGAGCTGCTATCGTAATTCCAAAGTTGACCTCACCACAGCTACCTATTAAATATTACAAGAGACCCGTTTATCAAAACCTGTTTTTGGGATATTGAAAGCGTTGACGAATCAAAGCTGTCGAAAAGCTTAATCTAATAGTGAACATCTAATTGGCCAAAGTTACTTTCAAAATTTTCATTTGAGTTTTAGAATTGTATATAAGTGCGTTTGGGGTTTATAACTTGGCTTGTAGTAAATTTTTTTTACTTTAAATAATTTATTTTAAGCCTCGCTGTGGGCAAGTGTTTGCAAATGACGTCATTGCACTATCTAAAGCTGCTCTTTCTCGAGCATTTATTGTATTAGATATTTCATCAGGGCAGATTGGGCTTATTTGTCCGGTTTTTGACGATAATGTGACCTAAGTCATATATATTTATTATATGATATAGTAATAGCGAGTCTCAGAATTGTGTGGTTTGAGTTCAAGAGTCGATGCACGTGTATTATGGCTGCCGCTCAACAAATCTCAAAACAGATTATCAAGACGGAGAAAGAAACTGTTTTGGTTCAATCTTTAATCATATAAAAACTGTTGAATATTATCAATTGAATCTGCTTATTAAAACTGGCGACAATAAATCTTCTGCTCATTTAACCTCAGCAATGCATTAATAAATGAAGCATGGCACTTGATGTAAACATATTAATATTTCATCCACATGGGAAAGTTTAAACAATAATTAATTAGTGAGACGTCATTTGTTTTCGTATAACTGCGTTATTAGTCAGAAAAATCTGAGCAGTCTTTTCAGAAAGAAGGTGTCTATTGCTAAATGGAGCGTATTGTAACAAAATAAACAAAATCTGTGATTTTTGTTTTGATCGCAGAGATTATTTTAAGTGAGAAAACCGCCTTTCTTTTGTTATCAGGGTTATACAGGTTATTCGCGATGATGTCATTTGCGTAAAAACATTTTGTCACAAAGCATAGCTGTTAGTCTATTTGTTTCGAAGCGGTGTATTTATTAGAGCATGTAAATGATGAGAAAAATTCCTTGTATGTAATGTACTTGATCGTAGTCATAAGCTTTGGTAAGAGGTCTTTGCCTTTTCTTTTCCATAGTTTGTAGTTAAGAATAGCAATCTGACTGATAACAAATTTAGTGTATTCTTTTGTATATTTCTTTGTTTTGACAACTTCATAGACTGTAATTTAAAAAACACATTGGTTTGTAGGAATGGAGTCAATACAGCGCATTATTTTCCTATTGGCTAATTCAGATCTGAGTTTAATAGCAGCCTTGGCCACTGGTGCAGGCTGGAGGAATGCACCATGGAAATAGTTAGCTTGAGAGTAGTGCTCAAAAGGAGAAGGCCATCGTAGAAAATGAATTTTAAATTAAAAGAGATGTGAAAAATCAATTTCTTGTGTTGCAAATTGGCTGAGACATTGCTAGACTTTGAGAAATGACTGAAGGAGAAATGCACTTAGACAAACAAATAGTCATCTGACTATTTTTTCGATAATTTTTTATAATTTCGATTGTTTTTCCTTAGAACTAATGTACAAATTTATTGTTTAGATCCTTTTTGTAGAAGTTATAGATTATGTTTTTTATAATATCGTTAGTTTGCTGTCAAATGTGAAAACAAAAATAAGTTTAACATTTCATAACATTCCATTCAGGCTCCTTAGGTAACCATTAAAATGAATGGAAGGTAAATAGCAGAATGCCTAGAAAGCATACATCTAGTTTCTCAAGGTATCAGTGCCTCAGACGGTAAACTAACCCTTCCCTACTGGTCTCCTTCCTTATATCTCCCCAGTTCTTGCTTCCTTTTACTGGGTTGACAACTCGAGCCTCGATACGAAGAAGAGGTAATAAAAACTGGGAGAACAAGATAGAACGAAATTCCTACCTTAAGGGCAAACGCGAATCAATATCGAAAAAGAGCCCGAGCTATATCAAGATTTCGATCTGAGCGAAATTCCTGACAGCAAGGTTCCTTACAATGTGATAACTTGGTGACTTTCGTATTGAAAACAGCGTGGTTATCAGAAACAATATACATAGACCAAGATGAATTTTTTCACGTACAGATTCTTTTCTGACGTCATGTAGATCGCGGGTGATTTAGAAGTTTCCAAATATAAAACTGTTGATAATCAGGTTCTTTTGTTTTGATTTGAAATTATCGAAAATAAGCTAGAGACAAAAGAACAGCTGGCTCCCTGAAAACGGTTCAAAGAGAATATATAAGCATTCAATAAAGAAAATTTTTATTTAGCAAAGATCGCTGCAGCTGCCTTTTGTTTGGCTTACGTAGAATAACAACCAACTTGTCCAAAACTTTCGATATTGGTAGTAAACATGACGGGGTGAGGACTTAATCCGAATTTTTATGAAATATTAGGAAAGTTGAGCTTGAGAAATTGTTTCTACGTATCTCAAGATGATCAAGCTGGACGTAAATTATTTCCTTCGATTTTCATCTTTGCTCAAAGACGAAAAGCATCAAGATGTATTACCTATTTTTAGTTTGGTGCAAAAAAGTACTTTTTCGTGAAAATCATTTTATAACACTGCAATTTTATCCCTGAATGTTCATAGGATGTGTGTTTTTGTACTGCATACTGCAAACTGCATACAATGTGATCAACTGGAAACAGATAACAGTTTCACAGCAAATTCTGAACCATAGAAATACATACATTAAAAATGCACGTAAGTCCTCGAATTAGCCCCTTAGTGGTTTGTTTATTTAGGCAGTTAAGGTGGGGGTTAATTCGAGGGGTCTTATGCGAAGGGCGAGGCTTATAAAAATCATCTCAAAGTTTTCTGGGATTATCTCGTTTTGTGGGTTATACACGAATTTAAAATTCATTTGATTTGCAATTTTACTTAAAAGCCCTTTCTAAGACTTCAAATGAAAGAATAAATCAAAGCACAGAAAAGATTTATTGGTCAAAAATATTGATATACTGCATTTTCTTTGGCAGTCTCCTCGTCAATGTCTCGTTGTTTTAGTTTTTCATTCGCTGCTAAATGAAATTGTTTATTTTCCAGATTATGTTCTCATGGGGGCTTATTAGAACCTAAATAAGTAGTGGCATTAAAATTATTGGGGGGGGGGTACTACGATAAAACTCTGCCAATTTGTCTAGAGCCCCCCTCCAAAATGTGATCCGGCGTCCCTGCTTCTAGAGGGGGGAAATTCAAGGTTTAACAGTAATCATTGCAAATTGGCTGAACCAGAAGGGAGTCTAGAAAGCTTGAGACTAGGACTGGTATTCCGGATTTCAGGCTGTCTACAATTGCATTGCATACAAAATTACAAATCGTGTCTTTAGATATATTCAAGCCACCAAACATAGGCGGCTGACACTTTTGGAATGGGGTGTAGCTTGGGAGGTTTTAGAATTATGAAAACACCTATTGTTTAGAATAACTTTACACGACCGAAAATTTCCTCTCAATCAATTTTAATCAGACAATTCGATAAAGAAAACGTTAAAAAGTAGAAGGTATTTTGACACCTTGACAGGTTTTCATCTAAGTCGGGTTCAATGACAATTTTTCGCAGCTGCCAGTCTCGCTGCCATTTTTAGCTGGTTCCCCCGTGCAGATAAACAAAGTCTCCCTGTGATCTTACAATAATCATCCCACTCTTATTATGCACAAGAATGTAGTGGACGGAAGGGCCATAACATGAATGCCAAATGTCGGATTTCGTGGAATAACTCATTCATTTGTGTTGGTTAAAAGATTCGAAGTTTGTCTCTAACTATTAATGGTTCTTCGGCTGGCTGAAATGGATAAAGTCAGTAAAAACTGAGTGAAATTCCTTGGATGCCTTGGCCTAAAGAAACTCGGGATCTGCTTTCAACAACAACATAAAGAAACTCTCCGTTTACCAATCGATCTGAACTTCTTACAAAAAGAGAATCCGTTTGAAATAAGAATAACCAATTTTGATTTACTACAATTTCTTCAAGTTTTAAAAGCAAGCAGTTAAAGACACTGGATTATTGTGGGCCTTTTCTTGAATCGGATTCGAATTTTATCAAATTTTCCCCATGAAATAGAAGAAAAACAATGAAAATTATTATTTTGATAAACACCTTCGTTTTTTTAAAAATTGTGTTGGGAAATGAGAGACAGACCCACGAAGCTGTTGACTGTTCCATGGGAAGCAGCTCTTGCGAGTCATGCCATGCAGCATATCCCTTTTGTTATTGGTGTGACGGAACCTGTAAAAGGTACTACGGAAAAAGGATTGCAAATATTGAATGTGCAGGTAAAATGATGTACGAAAGTTGTGAAACATCGAATGCCAATAAAGGAAGTTCCAAGGCTGAAGAAATATTGGAACTTTTGACGGCATTGAAGAAGCAAAGATCTAAACAAAAGGAATTAGAGTACTTTGGTAAGACTTCTGAATCTAAGCCTGATGACAAAGCTCCTATTTAATTTATATAATTGTTTGATTTGCTAAATGGAGCAATTATCAATCCACTACACCACAGTTTAGGAGGGGGTAGGGGGGGGGGGGGTTAAGCCATAATATTTCAATGAAACACTGTCCTTACTTTGATGACTTGTTTGTTCCCATCTGCAGTCTTAATCTGTTGTTCTTCAATCATACCTTCTCCGGCCTTGCCCCTGCATGCTCTCAAAACTGCTAGCAATTTTACAACAAAATGATTATCAAATTCATTTAAAAAAACAGGTTCAATTAATGATGGATAAAGTTTCTTCAAATCTATCAAAGATGTGCAACAAAGAATGTAAAACAGATAAAACAGAAACAACATAATACAAAACTGCATAAAAACCAAGGCGGTCAACTTAACTGAAAAAGCAATCAAGTGATAAAATCAAGATTCAAAGATGATGCGATTCAACCTTCAAAATTCTTTTCTCAAAATTCATTAATAGAAAACTTTCCAAAAATTTTTCCTCCATCTTTTGAGCCTGCAATAAATTTGTATGTGGTTTTGAACAAGCTGATTCTATTGATTTTGTTAGTGTCATGAGTCACCCTTGCCTTATTGAAGAATGAAGGTATGGTTTTTGAAAAAGACCATTCACTCTTGGCATTTGTGGCAGGAATAACCAGGAGAAGTTTGGCAAGTCTTGAGACTTGTAGCATGAGCAATGACTTCAGATCTTCGTGAATATTGTCCATGAATGGCTAAGAACTTGAATCTACAATGCTAAACACAAAAAAGGGCAGACTAGGTGTAAACTTTAGCGTGCATTCCTTCTCCACTTTCAGCATCATGAAAGTGAATCTTTGCAAATGTATGTTTTGCTGATAGCAATTAAATGATTAAAAATAATGATAAATGAATACAGAGAATAAATAATCCAAAATAACAGTGTAAGTTTTAATAAAATTTCAGCAATTTCATAATTTCTCGTTACTTGTAATTCTTTCAAATTTTTTTCTGTAAAATCATTCATGTATTAAAAAAGTAGTTTTGTTTTAGACCCATGTTAAAAGCCAGGGTAGTCATGATATTTTGTTCCTCCTGGTATTGTCTTTGTAGTGTTGTGTAGTAGTTTGTTAGTTAGTGATTTGTTATTGTAAACTTTTATATGGGATAAAAAAGTTAGTTTATATTCCAGGGTTTCATAATATCAGGATTCCACTAGATTGAAAAACTTTATATTAATTTCAAAAAATTTCATTTTATCTGCAATGCTGACAAGGTGTCAAGCCTTTTTGAAGTGGGATGAAGTAATAATACTAAAAAAAGATAAACATCTAAACATGCTCAAAAACCCACAAAACCAATCATTAAGAATTTTGCTCTCAAATAAAAGAAGTTATGTCTTATTTCACCATAGAGATCTATTTCACTCTCCTAGAAAGCAGTAGGCGTGTGCCAGGGCATGCACATGTAGTTGTGTGCCTTTCTGACGGAACCCTGTTCACAAGGTTGCTTTTAATTTTTCTTTGAAATCAAGTAGAGGGGGGGGCAGGTGCTAGGATTTTGGTATAGGATACAAATGGCCAGTTTTATGTAAAGTACTTATTTTTTCAATTAAGCTCCCTACAGGGCCAAAGTTGTCCAATTCCCCCTTATGTCCAAGGTACTTCTTTTGTCAATGCAAAACCACTTGGTACAATCTTCAGAGAGGTAGTGTTAAGTTTTTTTGGAATTAGGGCTGAAGATGATTTTCAAAATTTTGGAAATTTGCAAATAAATTTTGCTTTTAGGGGAAGCAGGCTTTACTCTTTGTTGTACTTTGTTGCATTATTTAGTTGCCTCCCATGTTGAGTATTATTAGAGAAAATCAAAACATTTAAGCCTTTGAAAGAAAACCTGTGATGTCCAAATTTGAAAAATCAACTAAACATGGCCAACATGAAGTCGATGTTCTGCTAGAGCTGTTTACTTACTTAATAAGTAGCTTGGCAAATCAAAATTATTTTAAGATATCAATAATCAATGATCAATAAAGTTATTGATCTGTCCTTAGGTGAAAATGGAAATGAAGTGCCTCCAACCAAGAGTACAACAAACAAAGCTAAACTTTCCAGACTCTTAAAACTCTTAAAGATGCTGGCTTTTCTAAAAGGGGAAAAAACAAAGAACCAGAAGGTGGAGGAAGAGAAACCGATGCATCAACAAAACAAAGTCTTTAATGCAAATGGAGAACTTGAAATTGAAGGAAATGGAGAAGAAAGCAGTCAAAGTCAAAAGTTGACTTCAGTGAAACACACATCATCTTCTGCAGGTGACCTAGAGTCTTTATTTAACATGGTTTCAAAAGTGAAGGGTACAAACACTACACAAAACAAAGTGGTAAGTTGGCTAAGGTTCATCAAATTACAACCAAAGTAATGAGAAACTTTGGATAAAATTATAAGCTTTACCAAGAAAGATATTTTGTGGCATTTCCTAGATTTTAGACAATAATTATTTTGATATAATGCTTTATTCCTTTGTTTAATCTCTTATTGAGAATATTGATCAAACCTTTATAAATTTTCATATTCCCAAAAGCAACAAACTTTTGAGCTGTGAGAATGAATTTCTTGAAGATTTTCTTTTGTTTATAAATAAATGTTTGAGTAGCTTGCTGTAAGAAGAAATCCAAGTAAAAAGATTGTATGGGAATTATGAAACAACTTTTATGTGATTACCCCTTTTATTCTCTATCATGCTGTCCTTTCATGATATTACAAGGTTGGGAACAACATTTTGGTGTTTTTATAGGAGAAGGTATTTCATGAAAGGCAGAAAGCGGTAACAACATCAGCAGTGCCAAAAACGCATGACCACACTACAGCCATAGAATCAAGGACAACCAAAATGAAAATTTTTCCAGCTACAAATGCAACAGTTATACCATCACGGACTACCAAAGCTGGGAGATACTGTGAATTGTTTGAGCAAGAAGATGAATGTAACAGTGACAAGGATTGCTCATGGTGTAACATATTAGATGAATGTGTTGGAAGGAACAAAGAAGACTTTCGGTATTGTGCAGGGGATAAAAGAAATGCTGACCTAGATCAACAGAGTAAGTAGTCATTTGAAGATGTATTTTAATAGAATTTCATTTCACAAAATAACAGTCGCCATTTATCAGTGATGTGTTCAATTCCTAACTCAATCAAAAGTAAATTTGTTCCATTAGGGCTATTCTGGTTTTTTCTTCTGTTTTAGCACAAAATTTATGTTTTTCTTTTTTAGATAGGGGGCTCTCTCTCGATTAGTTTATCTGTTAGAGAGCTCCTCCTTAGACTAATATATCTAAATACATAATGTCTTGCGGTGTTTTCCTGTTACGTGAATTTATTCAGTGTATGTCCATGTATCTTGTTGTTGTGTAGTATGTATCATTGTCTTATTTATTTTAATATAGGTAATGTTAGTAATCATATTGAAATGTATATTTGTCAATGAAAACTGAAACTGAAAACTGTTCAGGAATCATGGGCTGATGAAGAATAATTAGTTACAAAGCTCAACCCAGAGGTAGAAATAAGCCAATAAGGAAGATGTATCACCTGAATAGCTTTTGTTGCCATTAAATGCCATCTAACCTCTTGCTTTGTTGAAACTTGGCTATGTTTTGTGAATCAAATTCTTTCAGTGTGTACAAGAAATAGCTTCCAAACCTGCTGTTTTCGCCAACTGTTCTCTTCCAGATTTGTTACAGATTTTCTTTAGTCTGGGCTGACAAGGTTAGGTGACTGGCAGGTGAAAATCAGTTAAGTAGTACTGATATAGCAAATGTTAAGCCTGTTTTCCATATGTTCGGGAGGATCGCTGGTGTTGCAGCAATTCAAAGCGTTCCTAGTCTAATGTGTTTTCCAAAGTTTTCTTTGTTGGAAAAATTAGAAAAAAGAAGGAGTAGAGGAAAACAAAATTGTTGCAAGCTAACAAGCCCTGCTGAATTTAGTAAAATATTGTCTGGGCAGAAGAAAGCACAAGTTCTGGCTTAGAGAGAGATTTTGCAAAATGAGAAGAGATTTGGGGGCATTTCATATTCTGCCACAAGAGCTTCATCTCCATGATTTTGATTTGATTTGATTTGATTTGATTTGATTTGATTTGATTTGATTTGATTTGATTTTATTTTATTTTATTTTATTTTATTTTATTTATTTTATTTTATTTTATTTTATTTATTTTATTTTATTTGAGATTATGGATCTAGGTCCTCGGAACGGATTTTCAACAACGCCATTTTGAATAGTTAAACTCCTTCACTGATTTTGAGAGAAAGGTTTTGAAATGTTGTGAAAATGGTGCAAAAGATTTTGCCATTTGGTATTTAATTGACAGTATTGAACCAGAATCAGCAATCATTCAAAAAATTTATTAACCAAATAATTGTCATTCAAGGTAACTTTTGATTGATGTAAGGTTGATAGTTGTGCAGTTAGAATAATAATCTGAAACAGGAGCTTTTTATAACCAACCTGTTGTGGTATCGGCTGTTTATCCGCTATTTAACTTAGAGTTTTGATTAAGCCACTGTTGTGTTTTTTTCATGCAATTTATTGGTTACAGTCTGCACCTACCTGCAAACTATAAAGTGAATAAAAAAACTGTCTTACTAAAAGCTCTCATTTTTACATTATTACTGGCAATATCCCAATCAAAATTTATCCTTGGCACTGGAATGTCGAATTCAATACAAAGACTTTTCAAAACAAGTACTATTTTTGGGACTGATTTTACATTAGTACCATGAGGCGTAAACAACATTGCCCAAAACATAGCTGAATTGTTTGACGTCTGAGTTTGTTGATATTGTTGTAGTTTTCGTGATGCTTTGATTTTCAGCCACTAAAAAGCCTAAATTTTCAACATCATGAAAGTTTTCCAACATTTTCTAGTTTGTGGTTGATTCAGTGACGTAAGAAGCCACGAGACTTGGCATATGCTCTAAGCTGATCAAGATTTGAACCTTTTTATGATTTGATTTTAAACTCCTACCGCTGATTTCACTTGGTTACAGTTTTGTCAGTCCACTAACCATTTCAGACAAAACGTCGAAATTCAAGAAACTCTTAACGGATTAAAACATAGCATATTACGTTTTCTATTTTCAAAACTGATTATTGTGAAGGACGGCTTAGTATGTTTTTAGAAATTAGATCTTTATCTCCTGTCATAACATCGTTGTCTTGACGTTTGTTTTGGTCATTTGACAAAAAGTCTGGGATTACTATTCATTTGAGCAGTGGATACAGTAATCAGACTATGATGTCTGGATTTCATCTAACTTTTCTTTGTAAACCATTAAGTGTAATTTCATTAGCCAGAAATATTTTGATGCTAAGTTCTAAACTAAAAAGCCTCTGTAAGAAAGATCTCGAATATTGCAGACAAAACTGAATGCCAAAAGTGACATACTGAGCGTATCAAAGCGTAAACAAATTTTACTGGAAGCAGAAGCTCTATTCGTTTTTGCAACCATCAGTCGTTCTATGTTAGTCGCTAAACTAGCACAATTTCTATTTATTGGTATTCATTAGTGAGTATTAGAGGTGTTGTGGTTAAGATTGGGCAATATGACATAAGACAAACCTACAGATCGTACTTTGTTGCAGTGGTGTTTATTTAGTCGAATGCTGCTTGCAGGGGCGTAGCTAACAGGGGCTGTAGGGGGTGTGACACCCCAAATCAGTTTGTCGGTAAATTTGAAGTTGGTGCATAAATTCCCTGGTTTGTCGGTAAAATAGTCTATCGGTAGGTGAAATAGCACTTAAATTTCTCTTCATTTATGTCTCCGTCGGTAAATTTTACTACTCGTGACCCTCCAACCCCCTTGTTTTTTACGTCATTTGGATTGATTTTGATGGAACATTCGATATTTTAGGCGACCCAGAGATGTGCTCTGCGATGAAAAGCTGTAGCTCATGCACAAAAAGAGGGAAATGCTTCTGGTGTGAAAAGACGAAATCATGTCACATCTACCCTTTCTTTGGCTATATCCCACATAACTGTCCTGCTAATATGTGGTACTACAAAGAATGTGATGTCCAGCTGGCCATTTTCATAATACTTTTCCCGCTATTGATGATTCTGCTTTGCATGGTCGTCTTCTATTTCTGCTTGCGATTCTGTTACTACCGGAAGAAAATGCTCAAAGTTCAATTATTTGAGAAACCGGAACTGTTTGAGAGACGAAAAGGGAAGAAGGTTTATTTTGTTGGTGGAGATGAAGAAGATGACGAAGAATCAAGATCAGAACAAATCAGAAAGAAATATAATCTTCCGCACGAAAAAGAACCTCTTATCAGTCCATAACTCACCAGAACAGGATTATCTATACACTACACAATAAGAATACGAACATTTCCGAAGCCAATCACTTCCATACCCAGATGTGTCTTAATCGTATGGTATAAGATTAATTGTTTCTGAGGTAGTGCGCTGGGCAAATTTCACCATGTTAAGCAAGTGGATGAAAAAAGACAATCAAATGAAAATCAGACCTTCAAATGAATGAAAGAAGGACCAGCCCTACGTTTATTTATTACGCGTAACTATGAAAGACTCTAGCAACAATCAAGCATCCCCTCGTCCTCTTTTTTGTTGTGAAACCTTGTATCATTGGGTAGTTTATTCGTCATAAGCATACGAAAACTTCATGTAGTGTTGCAAAGCCTAATGGAAATGTTTAATAATTAAAGCCTTTAAATACCTACTTGTCGTATTTACTCGAATTAACGCCGGTCTCGAATGAACTACGAGTTGATTCATGTCTTCAAGTCTGGTGTCAGTATATTCGTAAAAAAATCGATGTCCAGCAGAAAATTTGAATCATACCAAACAATCATCGCTGTTGTCTAAAATTTGAAAATAATCAAGGACAGTTAGCGGAATCAGCAGGAAGATTTCAAACCGAGAAAAGTAAATCATTTACTATTTCAGCGAATTATCTTAAAAAAGTAAACATGTAATCTCGAAAAAAATCAATTTTGTCCAAATAAAAACATCGGTCTTGAATAAATGCTTGATAAAAAGTAATAATTATGGAATAAATGCCTAAATGCGGTATGCTATTCTTTGGATCAGATGAACATTTTTTTGTTATGTTTGTTATGTTATACTTGGATCTGAATGTAAAAAATTAAAACTCATGTCAAAGAACAAATTGTTTTGATACTTTGGTATCGCGAGAGCAAGTGATACTCTTACCTTGTAATAACGAACTTTCCAGGCAAAGAAACTGACCGGTTTCAAAGTTCTTCATATTGGATTCTTGTGATGTGAATTGTCTATTTAACAAACCAACAATTTCAAGGCTCGGAACCAGATATTACGAGGTATAAGCATTCATTCCCTTAATTCACTGAAATTTCGGGAAATTTGATCCGTTTACAACAGTTCCACAGTTCTGTGTTCAGAAGATAAAGAAGGAAAACAAGATATAGCAACTCTTGAATTTTGACATGGATGATATTAATCGATTGACCTTTGTATATGAGTGAGTTGACTGTGTTGCCCTCTTATTTAAGAGTGTCCTGTTAATTAGTGACGTAACCTAAAATGTACACACTGTTACAGGAGAAGAAGAAGGTACAGTATAGCATTCTGCAAAAATATGAAGGGATCCGTAATAAATTTTTTTACTCTATGAACGAGATTTAGAAAAAAGAAAGTCAGATAAATATTTTATTCAAGAGAGTGTATCATTTAAAAGGAAAAGAAATCGCGAATTTGTCATCAGTTTCTCGTTGCCGTATGTTTCTTTTCAATTCTTCAAGTCAAATTACGTAGAGGGCGAAGTTTGATAAAACCTTGAGGCACTATTTTTCATGTTTCTTCTCCATATGACTGGTCTAGAGAAACACAACAATTGTTTTAGATTTTTAAAAAGAGATTTCTATGTTTGAAAGTCAAAAAGGTTTAATATTGTTTATCTTTTTAATCTCGCTTCTCAAGGTAACATGTCACTCCAGTACACAGTATGCCAAAAATGTACAAAAATGCGAAGGAGTAGAAATTACGGACTCGAGATTCCCTGTCAGTCAAGACCGACTCTTCGGCCAGCGGTTTTCGCAAATCGCGCCAAATCTTTTGTGGGTTAGTAAACTGGCGGGAAATAAAGTAGCTGGTCACATGTAGAAGGAAGCATTAGAAGCACATCTGCGTTGAAAGCCATGCCTGTAACAACAAGAAACAGTGAAAGCCAAACTAAGATCGGGTTCAGAACCAGAAAGAGTAGGAGGAGTGTTCCAGCAAAAATCAATGACATCGAAAATTTGAAACAAGCTGAATGTCGTAGCGAGAATCGAGCCAATGCTCGATCACTTGGCAAGAGAGGACAGAGTTTCTGCTCACCGGTTTCTGTCCAGCTAACAGACATTTCAGAAAATGTTGAAATCAAAGATCGGTTTAGTCCGCTTGGAATTCCACAGAAAGAGGGTGTGACAGTGCAGCGTAAAGGACCCATTTCTCCAAGGAAACGTCTGTTTTGCGAAGATGAATGTAAGTAAAAAGTAGGCCTATCGAAAAATTTTGTTGTGATACAAATTGTAAACATTTGTATTGAGATGGGGTTTAGTAAATTATGTCCGCCAAATTGAGTTTGCAGTATTTTCTGCATAGACTGTTTCTGGGAAACTGATTTTCTTTGAACTGATTTCCCCTGCTGCTTGCCATGCTCTTAGGTTGCTAGGTGCTTACACAAGGGGTCCCTGGTGACACCCAAGCTTCCATGGCTGCATCACTGGCTGTGCTTCGAAGACGATTGTTGTGATTCTTCATTTCATTGTAGGTCTGAATAAAGAAAATTCACCACTGCCTAAAGAAAATAAGGCAGCAACAAATCTTGGCTCACCTTCAAAGCAGAAAAAATGCGAACTGCGTACAGTTCCTCAGAGTGAAGAAAATCGAAAAGAGAGCAAGTGCAGGTTGACACTCAGTAAACAAGATGGTGAGTAAAATAAATTTTTTAGAACATTTGAATCACAACTTGTTATTACTACCTGTGAAGTTGATTCTGACTGTTGTAGGTGTTATACAGTTTTTGATGTCAAGTAATACTTAAAAATCAAAAGTAATTTTCTTTGTAAAAAAATATGAAATCTACAAGTTTAGTTGTTGATGACATTAATACACAACTTTAGTTGTTGATGACATTGTTAACTTTATTTGAATTCTTACAATTTTTTATCCAAGCTTTAATTTAAGAAAGAAATGTTTTTAAAGTTCATTTCCTTGTTGAATTTCAGAATAAGCTTTATAACAGTTGACTTGTTTCATTTTTAAGGTAAACAGTATGGAATGATCCGACAGAAGCTACACGCATCCTTGCCAGATAAAATGCTTTGTAGAGAAGGAGAAATGAATGCAATTTGTAATTTCATGGAGAAAAAGCTACAAGGGAAATCATCTGGTAGTCTTTATGTGTCAGGTGCTCCAGGTACAGGGAAAACTGTTAGCCTGACCAAAGCATTAAAAACAATGAGGGTATGTTCCTTTCATATGAATAATTCATAAGTTTCTATATGTTACTACTAGTTTCTGAAGGTAGTTTTCAGGTCTCTGAGCTATGCCCATCTCTTAGTATCCTGGTCCTTTCCTCCAATTTGGACACACTTTGTAATTAACTTGCCTGCATTTACAGAGATCTGGTGACTCTCCTGCTATAATTTTTTTCATGGCAGGGACTTGAATCCTTTGAATATGTAGTCTTTGACACTAACCACTGAACCATCCTCATATACTTGACAAAATAAGTGACAATGATTTCATATTCCTAGCTAAGAAGGCAAAATTAAACTGTTTTTGTTAGGTTTGAAGGCATTTAGTAAGTTTCCTGTGTTTATATTTAAATAAAGTTGGCATAATTTTATTATTCCTTTTCTTACTAATTGAAAAATTATAGAATTTCCAATTTATATACTATCTATTTTAGAGTTATGCTATGCTTATTTTTTAGGAAAAGAAAATGGTTTTCAAAGAGGTTTGGATTAATTGCATGTCACTAAATCAGTCAACCAATGTTTATCAGAAAATTGCCACAGAGGTTTCTTGTGATTCAGGAAAAGTGAAATGCAGGGAAAGTGAGAAATACCTTGAAAAGTTCTTCCAGAAATCAGGCTCAAAAATGTAAGTTTATGGTATTCTCACACTTTTTTTATACTAATGTATGTGTATAAATGACAAATCTCTTTCAATATAAAAATAAAAATGTTTTCGTTAATCATGATGTATTAATGCCTCTTTACTTTATGAGGTAGTTGTTATATATGTTAACTTTCAATGTTCATTTTTGATCTTCTAGAGTTCTTATTCTTGATGAAATTGATCAACTTGAGTCCAAAAATCAAGAAATTCTCTACCAGCTATTTGAGTGGCCATCTTTACCAAACTCTAGATTAGTACTAGTTGGTAAGTAGGCATAATTTATAAATGCTCTTCCATTAATTTATTCAACTCCTCTCAATTTTGTCTTGTTTCTGCCCACTGTTTCTTACTATAATCATTGCAAGATTCACAGAATTCAGCAATCTGCCTATTTAACTCTGCCTACTCCTGGCATGTTATTTTGCTAGAATTGTACGATTTCCAAACATGAAATTATAAGAGGATTGATGCATTATTTATGTAGAAAATTGTCAAGTTCATGTTGTGTATTTTTGAAATTGAGAAAATTTTGTCAAAGGATCCTTAACTGAATTTTTCTTTATTCTTTTTTATTTACAGGCATTGCTAATGCTTTGGATCTCACTGACAGAATCTTGCCAAGGCTGCAATCAAGAACAAGTTGTAAGTTTATTGATACTAAAACCTTTAACATATTGATACTTGAGTGTTTATTTTTGGATGTTTCATAGTCTCCATCTTTCAGAGTATCCATTACTTAGATCTAATATCATTTTTAGGCCGACCTGAACTGTTGCAATTTCCACCATACAACAAGGACCAAATAATTGAGATATTACATGAAAGGTTAAAAGATGTAAGTCTCGCTTTTTTTTAAATATTTTCTTGTCATATAGGACGGGTTATGTTGGAAATGTCATAAAGACATGTTAATAAAGTGTTAATGCCAATAAAGAATTCTATCTAACATTAATTATTATATGATATTTGGTTAGTAATGTTATGGTTTGCCAATTATTGTAGATCGATAAAGGAAAGAATGTAACACCTATCATTTCATCAATAACATATTCACTCAGTTTATATGTTTTTTTATCTAAATTATGCATCAAAATCCTGGATTGAGCATCCAGAGAACTTTCTATGGCATTTTTTAATTTAAAGTTGACTAAGTGTCTTAATTTTCTTTGCCTAGGTAAATGATGGGCTGGTTGACAAAAATACAATTCAGTTCTGTGCAAGAAAAGTTTCTGCTGTTGCTGGTGACATGAGAAAAGCTTTAGACATAATGAGGTATAATATCATAGTTTAATGGAAGCAGTATTTCTAGTTTTATAATTTATTCAACAATTTTGCAGAAACAAAGACTCACATACGAATTTAAAAACTTAATTACCAATACACTAGCCTTCTTTCTAAATAAATTTAGTAAGTTGTCTGAAGAACATCACATATATATTAAGTATCTTTTTACCGATATAAAATATATTTTGATAACTGTTGTCAACTGTTGTATAATGTACCTTAGATTTTTCTTGTTATTATGGCAAAGTTTAATTACTGTAGTATAGTTATTTTACGTTCATGTTAAATTGGTTTGTCTTTCGAGTAAATCTTATGTAACATATATCATATTTTTAGCTAAACTATGGGCAAACACCTCTAATTAACATTCCTTTCAACAGGCGTTCAGTGGAGCTGGTTGAAATTGAATCAAGAAAACAGCAAGTTCTAAAGGCTGTCACAAATAGCCCATCAAAAATATCTACAGCAAAAAGTCCAGTTCAACAGAAAGTTACTCTTTCTCATGTAGCCAGAGTTGTTTCAGAGGTCTATGGTTCAGGTTTCTCAAGTAGTACTTCAAGTAAAGAATCCCTACCTCTGCAGCAAAAAGTGTTGATTTGCACACTACTACTTCTGCTCAAAAATGGAAAATGCAAAGAAGTTACTCTTCCAAAGGTATGATATATAATTTATCTCACCATACTACATGCCCTTTCTAACCTAAGAAATATTAACAGTGCCACCAAACCAAATAAAGAACATTTCCAACTTGCTTTGCATTCTTTGAACCTAAGACTATTTTCAATTATTGGCTGGTTTCAAGGCATTAACATCTTATTACAGCAACCAGTGTTGATAGTCAGTAAGGTATGATATAATTTGGTAAAATGATCATAAAAATTTGTATGTGGGTTGCTAATGATTATCTGGATATCTTAACATTGAATTTTACCAGATTTCAATAAATCTGGAATTGAAGCATGGAGTTTGAAAGAGAATGTAAATGTCATTATCTCTTCCTTTGCAGTTGCATTCAACATACAGCTTAATTTGTCAAAAGAGGCAGTTAAGTTCTGTTGTCCAAGAAGAGTTTGTTTCACTTTGTGAACTTGCAGATGCAAGAGGGATCATTTCTTTAAAGCGAGGAAAAAATATGACAGCTACTAAGGTGAATTTCATGTTTCATGTGAATGAAAATAATTGTCTTTACAGAAGAAATTATTCAAACTAAATCTTAAACTATTTTGTCCATATTTTACAAGGGAAAAGAAAAACATTTGAATGGTGACAAAATTGTAAATCTTATTGGCAATGTCTGTAAAGCTTGGTTTCTATGAGTTAATTTGAGATCATTTTGTGATCTGACATGGTTTAAAAATTATCTCATAGTGGAAATGCTCATTAAAAATTATCTCATGCAAATTAACTCATGTTAACTCACGTTATCTCATGAGCTTGGAAACAAAATTTTTTGATTTCAAACTCATGAGTTAACTTGAGATAACATCCTATCAAAAGAAGCTGATGCGAGGAAGGGAAATGTGCTACCATTTGCACTGAGGTTCTAACACACTTCCACTGAGAAATCAATTGTGAAATAAGAGAAACATGTTCTCATTTCGAAGTTCCTGTTCCAAGTGGTTGTATTCACCAAACACATATCTTTTTGGTAGATTTTCCGTTCGGAAAACCTTGGCCCAGATCGGGAGCGACACTTCTAGCAAAAAATCTTTTCCTTCTACGTATTCTCAAATACAGAAGTTAAATAAGTTGTTCTTGTATGACGCCTGCCATAGCTGCAAGATTAAAATTAAATGTGATTTCTGGTATTTCCATACTTAATTCTATCTCAAGTGGAAACCGAATCGGTACATGGGTTAATTTTGTGTTAGCTTGCATTATCTCATGCTTTTTCAAATTATATCAAAGTAACTTGAATTTAGACTATCAGTAAATTTTAAATTCAACTCAGATTATCTCTTGTTAACTCATAGTGGAAACCAAGCTCATGTTATTTTTGGCTTTGTGTTTAAGTTTTGGATTTTTAATTTCAAGGTTTCACTGAGGTTACAAGAAGCAGATGTTGACCACGCACTACAAGACAAAACTTTGTTATCATCAGTTTTAGAAGGTGGCCTACCCTACTAATGCTTTTCCAAAATATTTATAAAACTTTTACTTTTAAGTTAATTCTTTTAAATATCATTTTTAGTGATCTTTTTTAGTTTCCATTTTACTTTAAAGCATTTTAGGATTTTATTTCTAAGGTTATAAATGCATTTTATTATGACGTGAAAACATGTAAAAATGTAAATTTGTATAAATGATGTGATATCTGTAAGATTGTGTTTTCATCTAGCCTAGTTCCTGTTTTCTACTAAGCTATTATTCCTGTTGTCCTGCTAAGGCTGTGTTTACATTCCACAATCTTTTCCTGGCACCTTAAAAGGTGTGCATATTTTGTTTTACTAATATCTTGCAGTGTTCAGGCCGCAGAAATATTAAATAGCAAAAATCAGTTTCTCAAGGAGTTAAAACTCTTTACTAAGTGAACATTCCTTTTTCTGAATTGTAAAAGGGATACCCTAAACACTGTATCCAGGATTTTGCTACTAGTTACTGGGCAGATGTCACAGAAATAATGCATTCACACAGTTTGCACTCAAAAAATTTCATGATTTTCTGATAATCAAAGGGCTTATGAAATGTAAATCAAATGGATAAACAACCTTCCTGGAGAATTGTATTTCAACATTAAAAAACCTGTCAAAGTTCAAAGAAAATTGTTAACAAGGTGGGTTGACACCTGAATTTTGATGCCTTCACGATATTGTGCAAAGTGGACACAGCCTTAGGTTTTAACTTGACAAGGTCAATTACTGATTTTATGTATAAATACCAAAAACCTAAATCTCTAATGTAGGAATTTACACAGGAAAATTTAAGGAAAACATGGTTGACACATTTATTGAAAATTAATATGGTAGCATCACAAATTTCATTTACTGAAACTTTATGAACCAGAGTTGAAATATGAAAATACTAGCTGTTCTGTTTGTTTTTTACGTCAATAGCAGGAAGCATTATTTTGAAATCAAAATGTCTGTAACCAACATCAGCTACTCAGTCGAAATCACTGTAGGAGTTACTGTAATAATCCTGCAAAAATCTGAAAATGCCAAACAAACTGCCTTTTCATGCTAGCTTGGGCTATAACACACCTCTTACTTAGTTCCTAAATGAAGAAAAAACATGGAAAATACCAAATTAAGCACTCCGATATATATACTTTGAAATATTTTGAATAGCAACTCAAAAGTAGTGCTTGCTTCTTCACCATTCAGTAAAATGAGTTATACAGAGAAAAAATAAGAAAAACTTAAGAAAAATATATAAGCAAAGAAAGGAAGGAAGAAGGGGTGTAACAAGAGGCTAAGACTATGCTTGCAATTGGTCATGAACTTAAGAATGAACAGTAGGGTAGAATTGGTTACTCTGGGTAACTTGCAGCATGGGTTGCAATAGACAAGCATTGGCAGCATGTACAACAATAGGTGTGCTTCATCCAAATCAACTCTGGTCAAACTGGGTCTCACCACAATTTATTGTTGAAGAAAATATATTTTGAAATTCAAAGCCTTCTTAAAAATCTAAATCAACAACATTCAAAATCAGTTAAATAAAGTTTCCCCAGTTTGGATTCAATGATATTCACAGAGGAGTAGGTCTACTGCTAACCATTATGAGTAAATCAATCATATTGTTTCAATGTATTAGTGCAGAGTAATGGTTGTTCTACTGAAAACCTAAGAAATAAAATATCATTCTAAGTGCAACCAAGTTTCAATTTCTACTGATTTTAAGTAACTTAAAAATGTGCCAGTTCATATAAGACAACAAAATAATTATTTTACAGAAATTAGGTTCCTACACCACAATGAAAGATGAAACAATTATATTCTTCTCTAATTTTTTAAGAAATTTAGATCAATCAGAAAATATGCATCATGAAAAACTGGTTCTGTCTTGTGGTGTTTAGAAATAAAATCAGAGAGAAAGATAATATAGCAAGCATTGCGTATATGTGAATTTCACAAGCTTTTTAACAGTACACAAATGATAAAACCTAAATATACCACAAGTCTTGTTGACAGCATCACACTTCTGTAAAAATGCTTTTGCATTTATCACAGTCACTGTCTTTTTAAGTCAGATTTCTCTTTAATTCTTGAAGCTGAACAGGATTTGCAAACAATAGTCAATAAAATTTCCAAGCTTTCTTCCTTCAACCATATTCCAAAAATTACGATATTCACTTAATTTTTCTTAATGTTTATCATGTCCATCATCGAAAAACATTTTTTCGATAGCGATAGCTACCAAAAATGCGCCAAAACCAATTCCTAGGCCAGGAAACATTCGCCTCAAGTGCGCTCTTGGCATCAACTCTGGGTGATATCTCCAAGCCTCAAATCGCGCCCATGGGTCTTTTCTTACAATATTTGATTTATTGCTCGAATTTTCCATGACTTTCAAAGAAATTTTAGCACGTTAGTCCAAGCTCAGGCTGGTTTGATATGCTTTTTACTGAAAAATCTCCAGCCAAGTTGGATTGGTATCCAACTTCAGCCAAATCTTCAACCAAAATGGCAGCCAGTTATTTGTATAAGCTGGATGAATTGAATTAAAGTCTACATTGAACCGAGACCATATCATAAACACAGTACCCCTAGCCTCTAGCCCGCGTCAGAAGTCTGTGAAATGAAACCTGGCTGGCTTGGGGGGGGGGACCCCTAATAATTGTCAGACTGTAGTATATTTCCTTTATAACAGTGTACTAAATGAGAAAGGATACAATGGGCAGCCCCCCAATATAAATTTCGTGTGCTAGTTTGGACTTCGTTTATTTTTTATTTGTATACATAATAATTTATCACCTTTGCCACAGTCGATTTTTATGATTCCTTTTGTTATCTAATTGCACCTTTCGATTCATTAGTTCTTTCTTTAGGGATATTTGGTAACATTATTCAGCTCATTTTATTTCACTAATATTATGTAAATACTTAACTTTGTAGTATTTCAATTAGTTCTTGTTTATGTTATATTTCGGGCGTGGTATTCTACAGAGATATTTGGAGTTACGGTTAAGAGCGATAAGCTTAAGATTCGATTATATGTATTTTTAGGTTCTCGACGATTTTCTCATATTATGTGGCGAGACATAGGCGTAGGAGTCTGGAGAGCTGGGGGCATCGGCCTCCCCAGTTGAACACAAGCGAATATCAGTCGGGCAAATTTTTGCAAAGACTTTCACATTTCACAATGTATTCGGGCAAAACCAGAATTGTAGAGTTTCAGTTTTGACAAACATGTATATTTTTATAAGAAAGTAAGAATTTGGGCAAGACTAGAAGTTGCTTAAAATTTTGAGTTTTCAGAATTTCGTACGAGTTTCTTAAAGTTGGAGGGCAAGCACGAGGACCACAGAATCATGCTGTAATTGCATTTTCAGCATATATTTTATTTTAGTCCATTTCAAAGATGAAAGTCCAAGAATATGACAAGAATATAACAGTATAATTAGGACGATTTCATTTGCAAGTGTACTTCAGACAATAAGACAAATCCATTTGAGAAATCCAAGTGTTAAATGAATGGCTAAGCCATAATTTTAGTAGTTGGAAAATTTCGAATCCATTCTAAGATCCATCGTCAGCGTGTAAATCATTGCTTTAAAAGTTCCATGGCCATCTTCAAATTTCAAGTCGGCCCCTGTGAAACTTCCAAAGCGAGGTTTTTGAAGCTATTCCAATGTTTAGACCTTACTCAAGTACTAAAGTACCTTTCGAGAAATATGATACAAGAAACAAGTGAAAATGAAGTAAAAATGTGTGAAGGATTTCCTTTGTCAGTATAAATAGATTCTTAAGTTTTATTTCCCAGTACTGGAGTTTCTTCACTTTTTCCGTGATCTGAAAGTTGAGTTTCTTGTAAAAAAACATACACATTACAGTATATGTAAAACGACCTAGTTACTATGAACTAGTTATTCAGTCGTTCGTCCGTTCATTCATTCGTACATATGGTACATATGAGCTTTCAGCTTAGAGACGACCCTTCACAAAGTGTCTTTCCTTTTATTAGACCAAATGCATGTAAGCCACAGAGTCTCGATTTAGTATCTTGAGGTCACCATAAAATCGTGCTTTTAAAAAGCAATTTTGCAAGTCAATGTCAACTACAAATGTTTAAGCAAGTGTCTTTTTATTTCAATATTTATTTTCCGATGAAATGGGTCTTCACGCATGCGTTAAAGAATGCTCTGTGAACGTTTTGATTTTCATGTCTCATTCCCAAAGAGAGACTGATTTCTAAAGTGGGCCTAGGCCTAAGTATCTTGTACTGAAAATTGAACTGAGTGGGTTTCTTCTGGGAGCAAATTTCTCAAGATGGGAAGCTCTAAAAAGCACAAGGAGAAGCATCGAAAGAGGCGGAGGGATCGCTCAAGGTCAGAAAGTAGAGAAAGTGACGATAAACATGACCGTGGAAGGGATCGAAGTCGAAGCCCAAGTCGAAGGGAGGAAAACATAGATGAAGATTACAGGAGTGATGGTTATTACAAAAAGAAGGTGTCAAGAAAAAGCGAAGATTTCAGAGATATGGATGATAGACAAAGAGACAGAGATTATCAAGAAGAAGTTGAAAGGCAGCGACTATCAAATCAAGAGAAGAAGCGTAGAAAAGATTATGAATATGAGTCATCGAATAATCTGAGAAGTGAAATTGGAAAGGAAGAAGATGGGGGAGAAGGTTTGATACTCCTATACTCTTATAATACTAGGACGATAGTTTTGCAAAACGCTAGCCACGATGGCATCAAAGACACCCCAATATTCTGGCTACCACATATTCTTTCCCAGACTGCAAAGTTTAAGTCTGCACGGGAACAACTCTAAGCATGCTATTTTGCAGTTTGATTTGTTCCCTTGCAAGAATAAGTGGCAGAAAATAATTGCCCACACACAAATAATACTTTGCAGGTCAGCTTGCTGCCCATCTTTATCATAGCTGCAAGCATGTGCAAGTTTTCCTGTTTGGGACAAAAGGAATCTTGATAAAATTTTCATTGAAAATTATAGCAAAATAATCAGAATTTGAATCATGACAATACACTCCCTCTCACTTAGATTTTCTATTAGACTGTAAGTTCAGTGTCCTTCCTTGCCTTACAAATAAAACCATAACACAACCAAAAATGTGGTTCCAAATGAAAAAAATGACTCCAGGTAAAAACAGAAAATAATTGAACAGGTGTATAAAAATATGAGGAAACCCCAGTACATTTTTTCAAAAACTTTATTCCCCAATTCCAAAGCAACTTTTGGGCTCTAAAGATTTACGTCTGTACTCTACTTTAAAAATTGTCTCAGGCTTGTTTCATAGAATTCACAATGTGTAAATTCTAACTAGTTCCCAAAGAGTAACTAGTTCTTCTATAATCCCAAAACCAAGAAAAGGGTCTCTGAGTAGACTAAAGAACTGACTTCAAAATAAGGAGAAAACTAAGATGCCTTTGCTTTTAGTTATTACATTGATTTTGTATCATTTCTTAACAATGATAATCTAATTGATTTTTTTATTTTCACAGTAACAAAGCAGAAGAGTTCTGGAGATGTATCTCTGAGCATAGAAGAAACAAAGTAGGATGTTCCCCTTTGTATAGTAAAACGTTTGCAAAGAGCATATTTAATCCTGGAGACACATCAATCATTTTTCATAGAAGCACTTTTAAAGATTTGCAATTTCTGTTGATGACAAAATAATGCAGAAAAAATCATTATCAGTCAAGTTAATTAATAGCATATCTTGATTTTGCTTTTACTTCATTTTAGCTTGTTACTTTTTATATCGTGCTTATGGCTTTGAAAAAGCTACCTTTATGTGTATAATTGATTTAGTGTGAATAATTCATTTTATTTCTAATCTTAGCAAACTAAGAGTGAAGCTTGGTTTAAAACCTCTGCAGATGGAAGGGGAAAAGAATGGTAAGCCTTAAGTTACAGTTGTCTTGGTATTTTGTTGATGAAATTTTGAAGTTCAAAAAATTATGGAAATATGCAGGGACCAAAAAATCTGAGAGCTGACTCCATAGAATTTATTTTAACTAAAATAAGGATACTGCTGAGCAAGTTATGAAAAAATATTCTCCTTCCTGTAACAGACAAAACCCGCAACGGTGTGTCACCAGTTTTAGAGAATATATTCAAAAGCTTAACCAATTTTACTACCACTACAGGCTTGGTCATTTGAGGAGAGCCATAGCTCTTGCTCCCTTCCAGGCTCTCCTCAAATGCTGTAGGGGAGCTACAGATTGCTCTCCTACGTTTCTCTTAAAATCAAATCGCTCTATGTGAAATCAGTTTATATTCTTATTTATCTAGAAATAGCTCACCTGAAGGTTACTAGGAGAGCTGTTTACTGCTGCCCTGCTAAAATTCTTATCCATAATAGCCAGGCCTGCACTACAAGATCAGTTTCTGTTTTGGTGACTGAAAATTATAACAAAGATTCCTAAGTCAGATGAAAGACTGTCAACTTTTATCAAACAATAATTTTCAAAAACATTCTCAAGGGTTCTTAGGTAGAAAACCCATTTTAACCTGTACAAGGTACATACATAAGGTACATTTTGTTTTGTCTTCATGTTTTTTTCTTTTGATGAACATGAAAGAAACAAAGGTGCTACTTGCAAAAGAGTATATTTAAAAAAATTTCCTGCAGAACTTTATTAATGAAAAATTGTTTGGGTGGGTTGTCGTGGCCCGGTAAGTTTTCATGCCCTGCTGCTGAGTAGTTTAGAAGTATCATTCTCTTAACTTAGAATAACTGCTAATTTTTTAAGCCATTTCATTTTGTATGAAACATGATAATGAAGATTACTTATAACCTGTTTGTTGTATAGTGTTGGATGCTGTAGCACTATATTGTACACAACTAGATAGCTCTAAGTTGCAACACAGACGCTCAATGTAATCTTCAGGCCTTTTCATTTTTTGCCACAGATAAAGAGGATGCATCATATGACGAACGACCTGATGTTCATTTGCCACCACAAAATATTTCAACAGTAAAAAAAGCAGACAGTGTAAGAAAATATTTTCATTTTGCTTTAGAAAAAAGCTATAGATAATACTGATCAATAAATAAACGATTTTTTTTTCAAGCTGTAAACACAAAAAGATAAGTGAAAAATGTAGGGAATATTTCGAGAATGGTATAAAATGAACAAAAACTTTCAAAGTTATAGGTTGATTTCTGTTAAATTAAAATGGTCTTTATGAGATATTTAAGTTGATGAAACTAAGCACAGAGGTTGGGTTTTGGTTGAAACCACTCAATATTTACAAATAAAAGTCAGACTTGAAAATCTGCCACAAGGAAAGAGAAACAAAATTACAGTACCCTATATGAAGTAGATAACAGTGCCCTATTATAGAAACCCTTTGGATGTCATAAGAAAAGGTCATTTCAAGCATTCTGTGCTCTTAGTTATAATTTTACAATGATACTGATTTTGAGCAGAGTTGAAGTACAATTGAAATACTAAATTTACTGGTTTAGTTTTGCAAAATGTCAGTTAGCATTGTTTTGAATATATTGCTTGCTTGGATTTATGCTAACTCTTTCTGTAGTTGAAGGAAAAAATGGAAGAGATAAGAGAAAAAAGGAGAATTCACAAGAAATTACAGTAAGTTACAGAAGTTTCAATGCTCTCTTCACCGCTAATTTTTCGAATCATTAATAAATATCCTTATTGCTTATTTCGTTAGCCTGTTAGTTTTTTGTTAGTGATAATGAGCGTTTAAAATGCAGCCAAGCATTTAGAATAAAGTAAAAGCATATTGGAGTATTTGCAGTAAGAGGATTTGCAATCTGATGAGCTGTCAGTAGATTCATTTTTATTATGACGAGGGTTGACATAAGTTTTATTTTTGCCAGGCGTGTAAAGAAGTTAGGTGAAGAAGAAGACCCTGCTGAAGAAAGTGCCTCTGCATGGGTTAAGAAAATGCGAAAGCAGGAGGATGAAAAACGAATGGCAGCAAAAAGGGTATGCGTTGAGTTTTCTTTGCAGTAGTCTTGCGGATCCTTTAATCGAATTTTACCTAAACCTATTTTTTTAAATATGCGATGATTACTTATAATATCTATGATATTCAAAGAAGCTGCAAAATAATTTTGTAAACAAAAATAGTTTGCGAGACGTACCACGTTAACACTAATTTGCCCTTGGTATCAGGTTAAGCATGGCGAGTCTTACAGCTGTGGATACGAAAATCTTGCAATTTCATGGAAATTCGATGAACTACAAGATCAGTGTTATGTTCCAGATCGAAACAAAATATTCCTGTTTGTTTCATAAATTGCCGCTGCCCGAATCCTTCCTTAGGTAAAAGCACAACATCTGACAGTAGACCTGGAAAGCCCTTTGATGGTTCATTGATGTCCTTGCTAAGAAAATCTGCTTTTCACTTCTCAATTTCAATGATAAAGCTTCTTATCCCCAGTTAAATATAATGAAAAATTGTAATGTAATCACCACACCTTGAATTATAACCCCCTTCGACGACTGAAACAGGCTGAAACACGACTGAAACAGGTTTGTCTACAAAACGCCTTCTTTAATCAAAGGTAAATACCCAGTCACAATGTCTCTCGGTGATTGCGGACTGTACAGCTCTTTTAAGATAAGTTATTCTCAAGAAGACTGTGCTGATAGAACTTTTGTAAGATTTTAGCTTATTAAACACTGGAAACTTCCGTAATTCTTATATTCAGACTCCACACACCTATGCTTCATCTTTCATTTTATTTTAAGAAGTTCAAACCTGTAGTCAAATGTCTTTTGCATTCTTCACCATAACATCTGTGAATTATACTACATAAATCAACTAACTGCCACTAGTTTAAGTAAATCACTTTGAACATAAACATATTGATCTTTATATTCCAGGCTAAACTGTTAGAAGAAATGGATGACGAGTTTGGTGTTAGTGGTGTTATTAACGAAGCTATGGGAGAAGTCCCAAAAAGAGCCATTAAGAAAGAGCCAGTATGTCTATTTTCTTTCAAAAGCCCACTAAGCTGCTTTCATTCCAAGCAAACTTTTATTTTCGGTTCTTGTTACTTCTATATAACGAGCAAAGGAGTCAATGGTCTTTTGAGAGTGCATCTAACAATCCTTACTACCACGTTTAGTATCATGTGAGAAATTTTTAAAGGGTCGTATAAATGCTATATTGATAGTTTCAAAAGTAACCGTGAAAACAATTTAGTTATTTGCAACGATGGGAGGCATTACCGAGTTGCTTAATGTCAAGAGTTAAGCATATTTTGGTGTAAGCAAGTAAACATAGACTTTTTACGAAATTACCAAAGTTTCATTATTTCATTCCAGGAAAACCTCTTGCTTAGTTACAGCTAGTTGATTCAATTTCTAAGACCAATGAATCCATTATTAATTTCATATAAGAACATAGAGAATAGGAATGTATCCGTTACAAGCAAGTACTTCGAATTGAGCTTTCAAGGCAGCAATCCCTGCGTTATTTATTTCGTGCTGTTTATTAAGATGTTTCGACCGAATAATCTATAACGGTAATAAACGCTAACCCTAAGTTCTGAACCTAAGGAAGTGTAATCTCAACTTCGTATCAAATCGTTTGTATGATGAAGTCAAAATTGGAATTACACAGAAGTGCAATAGTCAAAATAATGCATATGGAGCTTACATTCTATTTCTAAATAAGCGATTGTTTGCCATACGTGAAAATATTTTCACCCTTTTCAATATCATTAAAGTTTTAATCTAATCAGATGCATAGTTTTTGTGATCATGGTCATCGTTGAATTTAGTCGTCTTAAACAAATGCAAAATTCCAATTTTCCCTCGAATTTTTAAATCAATTTTATGTTCTTTTAATAGAAATATTCTGCAAGAGACTTGGCTGGTCTGAAGATTCAGCACGCTGGTGGTGAAATTTCTGTATGTTCTACATGACTAAATTGTGTCTTACTTATTTTGTCTTAACTATGCAGTAGTAAATGGCGTGTATGTTTTGCATATGTCTCATGCTTAAGAATTTAACATACACAACGAGACATTAGGACTTTGAATGGGCAGTTTGAAGCTAAATAACTGCAAACAGTTCAAAGTTGTTTTCAATGAAATGCCATCTATCTAAGCAAAATACGATCAAGGATATTGAGAAAATCTTATTTTGTTGCGAATCGCACATTTACAAATAAACCAGTGAATTTGTTCCATCAATTTCCAGTTCATTTCTCGTTCTTGTTTTTGTTGTCGCCCAGTTGAAAGCAAACTGCTTTTTGCAACTTTGATTTTGAATGATAATTTCAATTTTGTTTGTTCAAAAATGATGTTTTTCTTAAATATTTATATCCTACCATATAACCTTTCAGGATGGATCATCTGTCATAGTTACTTTGAAAGATAAAGGTATGGAAAATGTTGTGTTTATATTCAAAGTGTATTTTTGTATAAAGGTCATACGATTTTATAAAAGTAATATTATAATGAAACTTTCCTTAGTTAGTCGTAAAATTTTGTGCATCGCTCTCCAGTCCCTGAATCATAGGTTTGACCAAAATAAAAGTAATAGCAGAAAAAATGAGACATTTTATGTAGATGCATCTGAATCACAGGTTTGTTCAAAATAAGAGTAATAGCAAAAATTTGTCCGTGATTTTCAAGTGACCGATTTTTGTAGGTGTTCTTGAAGACAATGAAGATGTGCTAGAGAATGTAAATCTTGTCGAACAAAGGGCCGTAAGTGAAAATTTATGCAATATTTTTGCTAATAGCTAATAATCGTCTTGGTTTTTAACCATCATCTGTTAGATTTACCAAATTGTGACTTTTATCGACATTTTTTTGTAAATTGTCTCTTGCTGTCAGAATAATACTGCTAAACATGAGATGTTTCACAAGCATTTGACAAAAGTTCGACAGTTTTAATCTACCCTAAAAAGAAATTTGAGTGTGCATCTGACTCATTTTCATTTTTTTAGGCAATAAGAAATATCGAAAATAGAAAGAAGAGACCTGGATATGTGGCATATGAAGAAGTTGATGAAGAAACAGGAGTTGTAAGTCTAGCAAATTGTAATATAGATGTGAAAAATGCCGTTAACAGAAAACTTGAATATATGCTTGAAAACCGTCTTTGAAAAAGTAATCAAATCTTCGAATGTTTTTGGAGGATAGCTCAAGTCTGCGTTAAATTTCTTTGATAAATGCAAGGAGGCAATCTCCATCGGTTATTTCAAAGCCAGTTGGCTCCATCAGTGGTATGAATGTGATATTGTTGTAGTTACATTAATTAAAACAACACTCCATCCACTAGCCCCTTGTGAATTTTAGAATCAGCGAATTTTGAAACCACTCTTCACGTAGAGAAATAGTAATTATTTCGATTGCACATTGCATGGCGGTTACTTTTATAACATCTTTTGTCGTTTTTCATTTCTTAAGTTCAAAGTCAAAGGAATTCTTGACAAGTACAATGAAGAGATTGACGGAAAAGAAGAAAAATTCATTCGTATCGGTAGGCCTTTGCTTACTTTCTCAAAGATTGTCGTCCATTCAATATGTTATTTTATAGGCTCTTTGATTCTTTTCTATGATTTGTTATTTGAAAGAGGTTGCTTTATAAAACGCAATCAACAAATGCAAATGTGGCTTAAGACAACTGCCAATCAGCGCCTGGCCAATCGGCGCCTGGCCAATCAGTGAGCTTAATACCACTCACATGATAATTGCCTTGCTGGTATTGATTGACAGTTGGCTCAAGCCACAAAAGTATCTGTCAATTATCTTTAATGTACATGAACAATTTGTGTTACGTTTTTCAAGTATATACTTATACACATATATACTCGTATATACAAGTATATTCAGATATCCTACAACACACTGACTAATATCAAGTACAATATGCAGACTCCTTTTTCCCCTGATTGGTCGGTTTTCTCATTTCTATCTCCTTGTATTCGGGCCTTTTCGGGATGATGTTAAATTCCTCGAACCTTGATTGGTTTATACGCTCAAATTATTTTGCAAGTTGCACATTCCTAACCAGTGGCGTAGCGTGACTTTTTCAACTGGGTATTCTCTATTTATCAAAAGGGTGGGGCAGGGTGTGGCTCGATGCGGCTTGATGAAAATAGGGGGATAATAGGAAGATTAAAAGGACTAGCTATTGACATTTTATCTAATTTTCTTTTTGGTTCGGTTGGCAAGTACTGCACTGTCAGGGCATTGCTATGATAAAAACGATACTTTGCTAAAGGACCCTTTCAAATATACTCTTCGAACTCATTCATTGCATCATATTACTATTAACCATTTCATCAAAAGTAATTCAAATCAAAACATATCATTGAAAGCCAGTAAAATTTTACTGGTCGAAATATGTCCCAATAGTTGTTGTTAAATCGTCTAACATTTGCACTGATGTAAAGAGGAAGTAACTGTAAACACCTACTCTTAATACCTTTTAATACAAAAGGGCTTTCGAAAGTTTCAAAATTATTCACATAGGGCATTACATGAGTTAAAAATGATTTTGTGCTATGCAGTATAGACTTTTTCTTCATGGTCTAATCGTGATATTTTCAATACAAGTTAATATTTGAAAGAATCGAAGGTAATGAGATGAGACTGCACAATAATGCAAATAAATGCGCTCGAATAATGCAAACAAAATAGGCCAACAAGATAACTGAATACACCAGGCAACTATAAGGATATTATCCAGGCCTATCTGCATTTACTTTAATTTTATCACATAATACAAACAGAAGCATCCCTGATTGGCAAGCAATAACAAATTGGCATTTCAAGAGGGAACAGATCTGAATCAGTGTAGTATTATGTAGCAGCCTACCTTTCCTTTCCACTTTGCTGTTGGTAGATTAAGTTTAGTGGTCAAATGAGAGAATGATTATGAAACAGTAATACGGACATTGCAATAGTTTTTTAATTAAGTCATGTTTACTGTTTTCGATGCAGCTCCATCACTCCAACCGCTCCGACGTCCATTAACTGTTTATATCGATCTCATGACGAGACTATTTTGAACCAACTTTGAGGCTGTACGCTGCATATTTATCAGCGTACAGAACCATTGTTTTAGCTGATTAACGGCAAATATTATTCATGGAAAGGAGCATTTTGATTGGTTAAAGTACCGTCTAGGGTATTCACTGCGTATTCATGACCGATCTCCATACAACATGAAGTAGCTCAATCTTCAAAATTAGCTTCAAAGATCCCCCAGCTTCTCTATGCTTCGCAGCGTTATTGCTTCCATGAATTTCGTGATATTTTGTACTTGTACAAAATGTAGAATATTGAAGGTAACGAATTCAACCAGAATCAATAGCCCCAAAACATTTTTTACTTATTACAATTATACGTCGTATTAATATTTTTTCTGAGAAATCTCAGGGTATTCACTGAATACCTTGAATACCCGGACGCTACGCCACTGTTCCTAACGTATAATTAAAAAGAGATTTTTTTGTTTTTGTAGATGCATCTGGTCAGGGAGACCTGGAAGACGAGTATGAAATAGATAGAGTGAGTAGATTCTGAATATTTGAGAGACTTAAGCCACTTTGCGTGACGTTAAGGTATTCTTCATTCCGAATTTAGAATGTGCATAGTGTACTTTGAATTTCAGAAATGTTTGGTAGCATATTAGCAAAAACTTTTCTTCTGACTTTTGGCTACGAGATTTGAATTTCATGGGAAAATGGAAGCATTTCTTCGCTTACTTAAGGCTGTCTTAAAACCGATATTGCCTTAATTCATCCCATCCGCAAGTTTTTTAGGGTATCATGGGTCATATAATTTAACACTGATATGGATACTGTGCAACAGTGTATATATGATTATCCGTCTATAATCAATCGAATCAGAACGATGGACAAGCACATAAGATGATTATTATTAACCAGCGTCATAAATTTTTGCTGTACTAGCTTATCTGTTTTTATATCACTCTGCTCTGCTTTTCCCGTTTTATTGTACAAATATTTTTATTTTTTCAAGATTCGAAAAAATCTGAAGGCTCAACAAGTAAGCATTATTTTTTTAGATTTGTAAATGATCTGCTTTTCTGTTCTATCAGATAATTTGTTAACTAATACTTTTCATGACAGGAAAATGTGATCGGAGCCCTTTACAATGTCTTTTAATAAACCTATTTTCTAAATTGAGTTAACCTGAAAATTAAATTGTTCTTGCAGAACAACAGTAATTATGCTTTTTGAATTTGCTATGCAAATTTGAGATTGCCGCCAGTGGATATTGAATTTTCTTTTTGAAATTCTGTGTGATGGAACTCTTGTACTTTTGTCATAATTGTATATGAAAAGAGAAACTAAGAATATTTTACAACATAATACATACCTTGTCATATAACGCAATAAAATGGACAGTAATTGCACTTCGGGCTGTCTCCATTGACATAAACGAAAATTGCATTTGAACCAAATTTATTTCTTTATTAACACAAAAAAAGGAAAGCGAGTTAAGCGAGAAGCTGATAAAAAGCAGATATAAAGGAAACGAGAAAAAAGTAGCAGTGAAAAATAGGCAGGAAATTTTTGATAAGTGCTTAATAAGTTCACTTAGAGGAAGAGTGGCGTATTTGAGTAATTTTTCAAGATTTTATGTAAGTGCACGGATAAGTCAGAGTATCACCTTGTTAGCTGTATAATGACAAGCAGTAAAAGTCAATTTCTATAATCATATTTTGCTAATATGAGAATATATGAGAGTGTATTTAGTTCCCGTTTACTATTTAATTTTTTGGATCGACATTAAGGTTTTGTTTTCTTGCAGATGACTCTAGCCGTTGATGCACCACAGCTTGCGACTGATTATTACACTCAGGAAGAAATGGTAAGTATTTTGTAAGCTTTTATTTGACAATCATTAACTCCTTATTCAACGGTTTCGTGAGCTAAAGCTTCCGACAAGGCATTCTATTTTTCCATATACAAATCCTTTCGACGCTGCCTTATGATAGTGTAGGCCACAATTTTTCTGAGTTAAAGGCTGTCACATCTACTCAAGGATGCATCTGTTGGTATAAGTGTCTTAGGAAAGAAATAGAAAGTGACCCTTCTTCAAGATTAGAAGGGTTCTCAGCCCCCGAGCTTTCTCACGTCTTGATACCTGCCTTCGGTACTGCGACTATAAATTCAAAACAAATATTGAGGGACTGTTTCTTTAAAGGATGTTAGTATCAGTTTAATCTTCCATATTTGCTTTTAAATTCTCTTTGTTTTGTCCATTAGAAACCCTTGCTTGATTTAAACTTTTTATCTTGAAGGTTCAGTTCAAGAAGCCGAAAAAGAAAAGGAAAGTTCGTAAAAGAGAGATTGTTAAGGTTTGTAGCTATTGAATATTATCATTTTCTTTGTACGTGAAAGCATTAATCCTTTATGTTGTTTTTTGCAAAAAGACGAAGTAATGAAATTTATAGTAATAGCACAAATTGAATACTGAATCACCTTTCAAACCCAGATGTAAACTTGGCTTTTTTCTGCAATGTTGGAATTATAAATATCCTGTTTACCTTTAACTGACGTATCAGGGGCGGACATTTGATCAAATATTGGGGGGGGGGGCAAGCCTATTGTTTTAATAAGATGAAGTCACATTTCCCATTGTCTTAGAACAAAATACCATTGTCCTCTAAAGTATTGGGGGGTCACCCCCCTTGCCCCCCAAGTGTCCGCCACTGTGACGTATATAAGATACGTACCTCCAACCCTTCAAAAGCAATCTACAAAAAAAGTAATCAATTAACCTACTGTACTACTGTTTTTTTAATTTATTGATTCAATTTTATTCACAGGCGGATGATTTGTTACCATTGCCCGACGAGCCCAGACCTGATCCCGCCTCAAGGTGATTTGTCTTTACCTAAGAAATTTAACCATCGAGCATCGAGTGTACACATGAGTGTCGAATAAGGGACTTGAGGCATATTTTAAAAATTAGTTTTAACTAAAGATGATATTTATGAAAACTACGAACTTGAAGCTAAAAGATCTAGCTCGGAAGATTTCTGGTCTTGCTTCCTGTCTTTGGAAGAAGAAGTTTTAAGTGATGAGTTTAATTTGTCATTAGCTGATCTCTGCTGTCAGAAGAAGGAGAACTTGAAATCAGACCATTGCGCAAACCCATTTGTTATTCATTTCGCGAAATTTTATACCTAGGATTGTTTTAAATTCATATCACCAGCAATTTCAATTTGCAGCGTTTTTTTAATTAATATGTGCGTGATCTCTTTATTTATATGGTCTTTCTTGCTTTATAACTGTTATGAGTTGTTTTTACTTTAGGAAAAGACCTAAAAGCATATTAAAGAATTCTGCTAATTGTGACATCCCAATGGATATTGAAGTAAGTGAAACCGAGGCTAAATCTTTAACATGTCCTTGTGGCCACATCTGCGTTAAGGTGGCAAACCCTTATGAATCGAGTTACATTTTCGATTATTCTCATTGGGACTTCAATGCGATTCGTTTTCTTCAATAGGAAGATCAACTCGAAGAATCATCAGAATTAGAGGAGGAAAGAGGTGACAGATTTAAATACAATAGAATACGTATTAGATGCATTGGCTTGGCTTGCTTTCCCGTACAACTGACAGCATTCTGTCATTGCAGTGTACTATATTGTAATTTTTAATTTCCATTCTCTGCCCCTAAAATGGCTTTATATATCACCGTACAATCCATATCTATTCTTTTCATGGCTGGAAATGTTGCATCTTTGTAATAAAATTTGTTGATCCCAATAATTGACTTTTGTAGAATTTTTACGAAGAATGCAAGCATTAGAAAACGCGCCAGTTGAAGAAGATGAAGCCGAATTAGAACTGCAAATGGCTCTTGCGAGATCACGCAAAGCCAAAGTCAAGAAAGAGCCTGACGAAATTCTAGTACTGGAAAAGGTTTGTTTTCTGAATTTGCACTTGTAATTTAGAGGAATTTTTTTAGTACGAGAAAATCATTGAATTATATCGCTTTTCGGACGTGTTGGTGTTAATATTTGCTTATGAGCAACACTTCGGTGTATTTCGCTTTGAAATTAGTATCCTTCGTTAACTTATGCCAGCTCCCTATTTCTGTTTTTCAGTTGGCCGAAAAAATACAAGCTTCCAACGAAGAAGAATCACAGAAGCGAGATAAGAGAAAATCCAAATGTAAGTCGAATGAATTTGTACAAAAGTTTAAAGTGCAAAGTTTATTCCAAAAGTAAAATATCTAAGCGTATTCTTAACACCATAATTTTTTCATTTTTACCCGTATGGTTTCCTTTTTATAGCTGATGCCATTGTTCTGGATTCAACGTCAGAATTTTGCAGGACTTTAGGAGAGCTTCCTAGTATTGGTAAGCGGCCTTTTGAATTCGTTGACGTATGGAGTAATACGTGGATATAGTCCTATTTTATAGCTGAAGTTTTTGTATACACTTGGCAATGCTGGAATGGTCACTGAAGAATCTAAGTCACATATGAAATTACCAATGATATTGCGATTGATAATGAAACTTTGTTTGATCTTTTCTTATCAAATAATCAAGAATAGCCCATGTTATAATGAACATGGCTATCATTGATATGGCTGTACATTTATGGTTTGTTTTTGTAAACAATACGATTATACATTATTGTCATCAGACAGTGCTTCAATTTTGTGGCTTTTATAATACATAACTGATTGAGCCAAAGTTTTCTTCGAAATGAAAGCTTGATACTTGTGTGTCTCACGTAACTGTCGGATGGTTTACATGTAAATCATGTACTAGTAATTGTCTTTCTAGGACATTCACATGACATCAAGGATGAAGAAGAGGTATATCCAAAAACATTTGCCATTATTTTCTCTTTGCACTTTTTCACGTAGTCTATAAATTTTATTATGAAATTTCGATTTTACTTTGCTTTAAGCCATTCTCTGTTACAGACAAACTATGTTCGAAAATCTGCAGGTTGGAATCTAGATTTTAGATACGAATAGTGTCAAAATATGTGTCTGCACGGAAAGCATATTACCTGTTACATTTGACCTCACTATCAGTTAAACTTATTTGAGCATTACTGGAATAGCTGGGTTAATGTAGAGATTTGATTTGTAGGAAGAGGATCAGGAAATGGAAATCACTGGAGGATGGGAGCAAGTTGTTGTTACAGATAAGAAAGAGAAACCAAGTGAACAGGTATCAAAATATCATTTTTAGATTTTCATTTTATGTAATGTTGAATCATTTATAATCATGTCTATGATACTTACTTGTCGTATAAGAATCTACTTGTTGTCTTTATGTGACATTGATGTGCTAGTCAGGCAATATAAAGAATAATCAATTGCATGTTTCTTATATTTTGTAGAAACATGAAGCAGTTTTGGAAGAGGAACCTGATTTAAAGGTTGGGGTAGGAGCAGCCTTAAAAGTGGCTCTAATGAAAGGTGTGATTTATGTTTGAAATATTTGCTTCTTGCCAACTAATATGTTAAAGTTCATTGCTCAGTGAGGTTTTAAGGAATTCTGAACAGGCCTTTGCGCGGCAGTATGTTTTGGATAGTATCCCATGATGCATTGCTACAGTCAAGTATTTCTTGGTTTCATGATTGTCTCACATCAGCCATCAGATTTTTATATTTTGCTGCACAAACTTTTTACTTGCATTTCGGTTAGCCGTTTTGATTTCAAGCTGTAGAAGCCTCTACAAAAATTAACACTCTAGACTCAACTGGTATGAGAATTAAAGAATTATCATATAAGAACAACTGTAAATGCAACGCATTTTTACCTCTTTATAAAGCTGTTTATATATGACATGAAAATGAGCTTAAGTTTGATCTGTTTTCCTGAACTCCACCTCCAGTGCTGTTATAAGTGGTTTCTTCTAAACATTACGTCATCAAGCTTTTAAACATAACTATTCTCTAACCTCCCTATTGGTGTTCTTTCAATTTTAAAGTTTTCTTTTGTTGTTGTTAGGGTTAATTGATGCGCAAAAGAAAAAAGTCCTCAACACTGGACCTACCAATTTACCAAAAACCAAAGCTGTTGTTGACGAGGAAAAAATGAGGTAAGGGTTTTCTTTTTTTTTAAATAAAATCAGTCATTGGTTCTTCCTTCCATTAAGTTATTTTACCCCTTTGTCTTTTAAAGAAGCCTGATCCAGGGCTTACCCTTCCATATGGTTTCAAAGATCACCTTCCTTTTTTCCCCATAACCTTCACATCTCCAAATCCTTTACCTGAATTTCTTTAAAGAAGTCCTAAGTCTTTACTTCTGCCAATGCCCCTTTTTTCTGACACTATATAAATACGCAATCTGATTAGAATTGGTGCTTTAGTTATAAAGCCAAACTTGCTTGATGAATATTTAGAATATAGACATTTCATGTAATATTGTTAACAAGCAGGTGATTGCAACAGATTTGATTAAATTTGTTTTCAATGTTTACGAATTTACTCTTTTTTCATTGGTTTCAGAGAGGAAGAGAGAGACAGGGGACGCAGGTGAGCGTCATTTTCCAAGCTTACTGCCTGTGATTATGCCTAATGTTCTTGATAGCCGTGCTTCAATACCTTCTACTTCCATATCTGATTAAAATTAAATATATGATACAAATTCTAGCTTCATTGATCATTTGTTTGAAAGCAAAACATATTTGTTCAAAACAGGAACTTATTTGAAGGTCATACAAGATTATTTTCTCCTGTGTGCTTTCAACTATTAAGTGACGTCAAAGGTCTAAAAGTGCCAAAGCTTTGCAAGAAAACCTACGAAAAAATATCAATGAAATTATGTTTGTTAGTTTAAAAAAACTAGATCTGTATAGCAAATAATCAGAGCCACTTATGTCTTTCTAAGAGGCCGCTACATTTCAGCTTTAACAGAAACTCAACTTTTCCTTTTTCAATACACCTTCATTCTTATTTTTAAATCTTCATTCAGAAATTGGTTTGTTTTTAATGTTTGTCATTTATTGTGTTGTTCAAATATGACTTTTTTCTTCTTATATTTTGCAGGGCTTACGACAGAGAAAGGTTAGTGCAAATGGTTTTATCTATACAATAACAGATAGCTGAATTTTTGTCTTGAATTTTTCGTGTTAGCCTAACTAATGTTTATGAATTTTATAATATTTTCACTATTTTCAACACAGTCATTTTATATCGCTATTCCTGCGACTTTGTTACCAGTTCACCTTGTATTGACATTGATGGCTTTTGGTAGTCAATAGGCACTTGACTTGAACCATAAGATATTTCTTTGCATTTACAAGAACGGCAATCGTGTTTTTAACGGTTAGAATTACAAGAACTGAACAATTGGTTTTTTATCAAATCAGGCACAAAACTTTGTTTTACAGCATAAACAGTTTCTTCAATATAAGTTGGTTCTTAAGTATTAATAATCTAAGGATTTGAATACTAAGATCTTAGAGCGTGAATGACATTCATTATTTAAGAACTGAATAGGAAATGTCTAGTTAATGTACTTTTCTTTAAAGATACGACCCTTATTCATTCAAAGAAAAGGACTCTTATAAACCAGAAGTCAAGCTTGAATATGTTGATGAGCATGGTCGACCTATGAATGAAAAAGAGGTAATGTCTATGTTTTTTTGCTTCACTTAACCTGATGTTTAATCTAATTCCGCCTTCAAAAATATAGCATAAGAAATCGCTCTTTGCTGAATATTTTTGGACTCCAGCCCAACTTGCCTTCAAGCCTTACATTATACTCATTATTTTATTCTTTAACACGGTCACATGTTAACTCTTTTCGAATTATGAAATATTTTTTGTGCATCTTTCTCAGCTTTAACTTTTCTTACTGGAAATTTTATTTTAAAGCAACATTTTTCATTTATTAGAATTTCACTTATGGTAAAAATGACTAAATTTATTATAAAGTCGTGTATAAAATGGTTCATTAATATTGTTTATGAGTTGTTCCACCTTTTTTTCAAAACTTCCAACCTTTTTTGCAGGCATTTAGATTTTTATCACATAAATTTCATGGCAAGGGGTCAGGTAAAATGAAAAGTGAAAAAAGGGCGAAGAAGGTTGCGGAAGAAATGGTAAGATCCCCGTAAAGCTTGTTGATATTTGCTGCCATTTTGTCCTGTTAAGCCATTTTGTCCTGTTAATTTGCTGCCATTTTGTCCAGCGGCCTAATGGCCTTTAAGTGTAATTCTATGGACAGTGACTGGGGTATTCAAGCTACATAGTTTTGTTACTTAAAAGCATAAGGACTAATCTAAAACAGGAAAGCAAAACATTAGTAATTATTTTGAATAACTATATTAACTGTCAACTGAATCTCTTGTCAGAAAATTATTTTTGTAGCCGTAATGGCATTTCAATAGGTATGGGCAATATTTGTTTTGTGTGAAAATGATACTGCTTCTTAATTAATTAAACAAAAATCCTTCTAATCGTTTTTGAAGGCCTAGTGAGGCTTTTGTTTAATTTTTGAAGTCATTACTTTGAAAATATTTGTTTTCATTCCCTTCTTGCTGCTCTTCACTTATTTGTAAGCACAGTTGACAATTTGCAAACATTTAGCAAGAAATTATTCCTTAATATTTTTTTTGTTTATTACATTTATTGCTTTTTAAACAGAAAATGAAGAAAATGAGTGCCATCGATACCCCGTTGAATACAGCACAGATGATGATAGACCGACAACAGCTGAGCCAAACGCCTTACGTCGTCCTGAGTGGTGGGGGCAAGAACCTGCTAACAACGTAAGTACTTTCAATAATGCTACCTATTCACTCATAGCGCCTTTAAATGTCCCTTATCGTATCTTAATTTACCATGCCTTTCATTAATTTTGCATTGAGAGACAATGTTCTCCTGTGCTCCTTCCATTTCCCGTGTACCTCGTACTGAATAGTAGTAATATTGCGTCGAAACGTGCCACCAAACGTGGTAGCTAGAGGAGAGACATTTCAAGCACTCTATTCTAATATACCGTAGAATGCGCGAAAAAGTCAACTTTTTTATTTACCAATTTTTGCTAATAGAGTGAATTCAAACAATTTGCTGGCAGGCTCCACCTTGAAATGGTATACATACGTGTGTTGACATGTTTCTACTTTCCATAAACATTTTAGCCACCAATGTATATCAATCCCTTGTGCGCCTTTGTAATGATGAATAAATCTTAAGTACATGCTACTTATGTATGCTTTTATGCTTTTTGTTTCACCCTTAGAAACATTATCTCCAAGAAGTAGCCTAAAGGTGAGCAAAGATCGAAGATTGTGCATTGGTGTCAGATTGAAAAGAGACAAAAAGAAAGTCACAATCATAAAAGCTGTATCCGATTATTTCAAATGTGAAATGAACGCTACAAGGTCTACCAAACACTTTAATGTAAATATAATAATAAGTTTTGAAAAAGGGACTGTTTGACATGAAGACATCATAATCGTTTGTGTCAGCTTCCAGTAACCAATGGATATTTGAAAAAAGTTAAGAAAAATATTAACGAAAGCTGTTTAGTGGGTATGGATAAGCAAGAGGTCTCTAATGTTTTGGGAATTTTAGCTGCTTGACAATGCAAATACTGACTAATACAAACTCACTACCCTGCTAATCTTGGAAAGAACTCTCTCATAGCAAAATCAACCTGCTCGTTATCCAGTGTTTAGAAGTATGTAAACCCCTGTGCCAGTTGTTTCTTCGCCTTCTTGGTAAATTATTGAGCATTTAGATGTATTGAACTAGGCAATTGTTTTAAGGAAACTACATGCATTTTATGCTGGTGATTACAAAAAATGATCGAATCTAAATTTTATAGAGTTGTTTTCATTAGATGACCCATATGTAGATACAGAGCTATTGGTTGAAACCTGGGCCTACAATCTTGTATGCGCAGTTTTTTGGAGTCGAGTTGTGAGATCGTTGGAATGTAACAGCTTTATCTAAACTTGTTAGCCCAGTCGTATAAAACCATACACGCGGCATCATATTTCATAACTGTGCTATGTGTATACGAACAGATGTCTGTGATATGACTGGGAGGGATATTTATCGTAATGACGTATGTGACGAAGTGGTATATGTGTTTAAATTCCACGACAATGCCCCTTAATAGATCATCACTGTTTTTGCTTGCCACATTCTTGCTCAGTTTTCCTTTCAAAACAGATCCCCTATAGGTATTCAAAACCTGAAAGCTTGAGGCATATTTCTTAATTATTTGTCTGGTCGTTGTTCAGGGCAAATTCTCCCCGTGATTAATAAGTAAATAAAAAACTAATAGTATTAATAATTTTTAACTATCTATGGCCGATTTCGGGGCTGCAGAATCTATTCCAAACAATTTTTCTAATAACGGCGCACGTAAGAAGAATGTAGAACGCAAACAAAATATAGGAAATGCCATAATGAATTTTTTAGGAAGATCCTATTTGATTTATTTTTAGATTTCTTTAGCATTCGGATCTTATTTACCTTTCGCATCTTCTGCGGTTTCGCTCTTTTTCTTTTCTAAGACGTTTATGTTTTTGATTACAGTTTAAAAGGAAACAAGATTTTCTCTCTTGTTTTCGATTTAATGTTCATTCAAACCAAAAAGAGGATTTTATATTTAGCCATACTGCTACTTTTTTGTATTTCTTTAACAGAGAATTGCCATAGAGTGTAATTATGTGCCCATCAAAGAAAGGGAGGGACATGATTAATTTGAGGAAAACAAAAAGGCATTTTTCACTTGAAGCTGCTCTTTTTGTAAAAGCTTTTGCAGCTTTTTGCGTAATTATAAGGTTGGTCCTCAGTATGATTCATTGCTACCATCATCTTAAATCAAAATGATACCAGGTTAATTCTTGCAAATTGTCCCTTTTAAGTTTATATAGTAAAATAATATTAAAGGGTCAATGAACTATGTATCTTCAAAACATCAATCTGTAGTGAACAAATTAAGTTTTTTGAATGCAAATCGCTCATCGCATTTAAAACAACACTATTTTAGGTTGCGACTTAAGAGTGCAAAAATGTATGGCATGTAGTACGACCTTTTTTTATTGTATTTTACTAGCATATTACTGGGTATTTTTTTGAGCTGGTCAGAAAAATCCGCAGTCGATTTGCAAAGTCCTTAGTTGGTCGGTACAGTCGGTTGATAAAGTAGGAGCAATATTGTTCTCATTTATGTCTGGGTCGGTAAATTCAATATTTTACTCTGCGGCCTACTTTTTCAAATAAAGACCCAAACAAGTATTTGCTGCTCATCCTTTTAAGAATTATTTTGCGAGAGAATTTGACTAATTTTTCTTCCTTCATTCAATTTCGAGCCACTTGTTTAGAAACATCATAAATATAATTGTTTACTTCAAGTATTTGCTATTATCGTTACGATATCTGAGTAACATAAAACGCAATCTCACAAAAACAGCCTAACATATTACTGTTTTTTAATTTTCTGTCTATCTGTTTGTCGATAATCTCCTGATTAGCGTCGAAAAACAGTAAACATGTTTTATTTTTAGCGGCATCAAAATGTTCGGCTTTTCCATAAACAAGTTCTGTTGTGTCTAGCAACGATTTACGACGTACCTTTGAAATGATGTCGTTTCATGTTTTCCTATTCTGGGTGCCTCAGTCTAACTTGCGCCGTTTACAATCCTGTGTTTTTAAAGCTGCAGGAATTGAATTCCTTCTTTAAGGTAAATCTAAGATTTCCCCGGCTCCCCCGACACAGCCTCCCGCTTCTATTTTTTCGGAGCAGTCTCTAGTTTCAAATCTGATTTTTACCGGAATTTTAAGCATACTTAGTTGGTCCACAAAAGAATTAGATCAAAAAATAGGAAACTAGATTATGTCAATTTTTTCCTACTTTGTGACTAGATTTTTCCACAAGAGGCCTGTATCGCAACCCTTCCCCCCGGTAGGAACCTGAATAAATGCGCTGATTATTTGCCTCGTTCACAGATATGTTGAACTCATCAGCATTATCAGCAAAATCTCAACAACTTATAACGCTTTACTACTACTTCATGTAGCCCTATTGTTGTTGTTGTCCTTTTACTCTACAAGGTAGGGTTTTCTCACAGACACCTAGAATCGCCCATTTTCCTTTATTTTTGAGCACTCTTAATTTGGAAATGTCCTAGACTTTGAAAAATGTAATTTACACTCGTGAAGCTCCGTTATGGGAGACACACGGTTTTTTAACAAGCTGCTACGGTTGAAAGTTGGGAATTATTTGTCAGAAAGATAATTTATTACTACGATCAGAATAATGTTTTATTGCAAAGTACGTAATACAAAACATGTGATATTTTGTACTAAAACACCAAGTCTGACCAACTCCAGAATTTGGTCTTTTCACCAAATATTTTGATCGTAATTTTTAATGATTAACTCTAGGCCCTCGTTAACAGCCACTTTTTCAGCATACCTAGAGAAACGTTTTGACCGCAAGAGAAGTCTGTTTTCCTCTGGTCTTGTTGGGTGCGAAAAATTACTTGAGAAACTAAAGGTCTTTATTACAGTACTTTAATCTGATTTTAATTTTGTTTATTTACATTTTAAGCTTTTAGCTCTGCTGTACCAATGCAAATGTTGCAAAAAGCACTTCTAAGAGTTCTAGGACAAAATTCCGACTGACAACTTATTCTCACTAAACTTCAAAATTTTTCATATCTTCCATTCTACTTCTTTGTAATCTAGTTGCTTTATTTTTTTATAACTTTGTGCAATTAGATTCATTGACATAAAGTGGAGTTTTTACGTCAAGACTCATTACCAGGCCATGCGGCTGACATTTGGCGCGAAAATGTTATTTCGAAGCTGATGACGCCACAGTGGTCGTTTGGCATCTCGTGGGTTTCAAAAGAGGCTTCCGGCTTCTAGAAGAGAAAATCATAAAAAGGATATTTAATTGAAATGGTAGGCTTTTAAATTTTTTCTTTCTCCTTGCTATCCAGATAATGATTCGCTGCCATCATAGAATTTGGATTTGCAAAGCTTAAATTGACAAATTATTAACTTTTTGGATGAACGGAATTGAAAAACATAGGCCATTTAATAAAACAAGAGGGTGAACATGCTCACTTATCTGTGGAGGCCTGTTGAGGTTTCAGACAAAAAGATACATGCCTTCTAGACATTCTCATCATGCAGCCTAATAAGAGATTAAAATGCTAAATGTTATTAATATATTTCTTATCACCCAATTTCCTGACGAATTTCTCGTTGCTAGCCACAACTGTTACGAATTCTTAACCTTTGACGTCAGGTCCACTAGAACTCCCCAAAGCGAGTACACACACAATCCAATATATTTAGAAGCGATTTTCCTGATATCACGAAATAGTTTATCATATTGCCAGCTACATGAAACACTTCTGAGATTACAAACATCGCTATAAAAAGACAAGACCTTCCTCTTATCTTGCTTCTCAGCTCTTTCTTCTGTCGCTATCAGAGTGGTAAAACAGTGTTGTCATAATTAGGATAGATTTTAGTGTTAATGTTTTAAAATATTTGTTCAAATCTATGTATAATCGCAATCCATAGAATACCGTTAGTTTTTCAATGATTATTCTGCCTTTCATCTGAACTTCAGATTTTCAACATTAGGTTCTCAGACTTTCAACTCAGATTTTCAAATTCAGAATTGCAGATTTCTGAAAACAAATTTTTCAACGTCAGGTACAAGTCTCTTGTATCTTTTCAGATATTCATCGCATTTCAAAGAGATTCAATGTGTTTCAAAGAATCAGATTTTTCATTATTTTTACATATATAATTCAAGTAACAGATCTTTCTATTTTGTCGATAAATACTTCTGTACCGACCTAGAAATCCTTGGTGTACGAAAAACCAATTTTAGTTTACTGCGTTTCAAGACGCACTCCTTTAAAACTGACAGTGGGCGGCAGCGTGAGGGTGTTACGTCATGAAGAGTTGTGTCGTGGGCGCAGTTTACCTGGCAAGTAAATACGTTCTATCCTCCCACAAGTCAAACAGTGTTGCTGCAATTCACTCAGTTTCTAATTTCTCACGCCAAAGAAAGTGGAGTTAAATTTGAGACGGTGTGGAAATTAACTAACAACATTACTGTCTTCTTCCTTTCATGAACTTGTAAAAAGATCAAGTCGTTTTGCTCCCACAGAAAGCATTTACACTCCAAGAAAGAAATATTGTTCTAACTTCTAACTTTGTATATTTACAGTTTGGTAACCTTAGAAATAAATATGATTTTATGTCATGATAGACGTATCATTTCTTTTAAATATTTCACTTTTCTTTCTTTCTTACCCGTTTAATAATGAGATAAAAAAACCTGTTTCTCACTCTGAACAAGACTGATTCAGCGTCATAAATTGACTTACGCCTTCAGACAAAATTTCGTTCATGATATTGAAAATCATTGCAAATTTGGATTGCGCAGCACTACAATATGCTTAAGTTCAGGGTTGATTCTGATGCACTGTTTAAGGTACATCCTTTCCGGAATCCCCCAAAATTGTCAATAACAACGAAGCTATGTTCTATCTTTTTTATATCTAATGAGCGAATGGAGAGCAACAGATCCTTATTTCTCCATCAGCTCCTCCATTATGATTTTCGAGCTGGTGGCACGATCATTTACAGTTCAAGTTCAATAGTAGCAAGCTCAAGTTTCATAGCTACAGCATTCCCATTGTAGATCAGTTTCACGTGAAATGCCGGAAAGATGGCGAACTTGTCATTGAATTTTCGCATCCAAGCCTTTGTCAAAATAGGCATACAATAATGCATGAATTTTGGATGGGTCCTACATAACAATAGACAGGTAACACCTACTAGTGGGGGAATTTCGCTAAACCTACGCAGACGATGTAATGTTACCAGACGCTTCAAGGTCCACCATGTACATTTTGATATAAAAGGTGAAAAAGTGGACCAGTCATTTCAGTTGTCTACTTGCTGGTGATATACACAGTTTGGAAACTGGATATGTTCCGATTCATTCTTTTGTAAGTCTTCAGCGTCGGTTTACTAAAAATGCATTCTTGCTGTGCGTTTGAGGTATTATATCGTGTTCCTGGTTTGCGCTTGGAAGCTGAGCTGCACATGTCAAATTGTAACTGCAAGTTTCTATCTGTTATAGGAAAAGAAAAAGTTAAAAGATTCAAAGCAGAAGCTGGATTCTGAGAAGTCGCCCTGAGAAAGGTAATATGTTTTTGATTTCGTTCAGCTTCATCGGAAGATCAGTTCGTATCATTGAAGAGCTTTATCTGTGTTTCAACTGCTATCCAATATTTTGCTTTTTCTCATTTTGGGTGGAGAAACGTTAAGGATTGTTGTATGGATATCCACTGTAAAAGGTACTCTGATATCATCACCTTGTTAGTTTCTGGTCAACAATGTTTATTCTTTGCAACAGCAGGAAAATTCACCTGGCAAGTCGTAATGATACCTTCCTATTATCAAAAAAACATATAAAAGTGCCATATTCAAAATATTAGTTATATAAACGCCTAAAATATTTCTGCCTTCCAAATACTAGAGAGATAAATGCCTTTTTTCTAATCAATGTCAATTCATGCTGCCTGTTTAAGTATTGATGTCAGGGCTACGTAAACCTAACAGCGTAAGACA